GTATTTGGGTCGTAAGCCAATTGCAACACACCAGAGCGAGGCCAACTACAGGCATGAAGGCGTAGGTTGACCTACCTACTCTACTCTGAGTCCAGCACTCTTGCCAGTATGTCATTGATTGTTTCAGCAAAGTCCTTTTAATGTATGAAGTTCAGGGTTCCACCGTCCTTGTTACAAATGGCTCCTGCCTTAGCCAGCTGGTCAGCACGTTTGTTGCCCAGGATCCCGATGTGACTTCAGACCCACCGCAGGGCAACGTGTTGTTCGTGCCTCACCCTTAGTACTCTGCTTCTGATCTCCTGTACCAGCAGATCGTGATGGTACCTGTCGCTCAAGGCCTGTAGTGACGACTGGCTATCGGAGTAAACTGTGACCGGATCTGGATGTTGTAAGATCCACTGGGACATCCCCTCCAGGATTATCAGTTCTACCTGGAACACGGATGCTTCCTCATTCAGTCTGACTGACTGTTCATACATGTCACAGAAGACACAGTATGTGGCACCTACCAAGCTGTCATCTTTAGAGCCATCAATGTATATTTCAACACCACTACCAGTCGGTTTACCGACATCCCAGTCATCCAATCCTATGGGCCGGATGGACTTTTAGAACGTTTGTCTGACTCCTAAGTCTGATTGGGTACTTCTGATTACAATGCATAGCTTCTATTCCTTCCACCTTGGTTCTGTAGAAGGCTGCCTCTTGGCTGACCACCAGAAGCAGCAGAAGCAGCCTGGTCAAGACCAAGGCCTTCTCTGTCGACACAGTTCTGTATGCTCTTGTGATCTGCTGGTCAGTGGGTTGCTGGATTGTGAGCAACATCTTGCTCTGGTTGACATTGGCAGAGTCCTTCCACCATACATTATAGGCATAGCAGATAACATGCTCTACACTCATCTTATAAATGGCTCGAAGTGCTTCTCCACTAAGGCCATAATCCTGTCTAGGTAGTCTAGATAGTGCCGCTATTGTGAGGTTTGTTCTTTCATGAACACTCCTCAGATGCGGCGTCCAGCCGCATCTGAGGAGTGTCATAGTGTCTGATTGATGATGGCACCGAGGTACTTTAGCTTGTTCATTTTTTGGATGGGGTTATCCTGGATCCGGTATATTGGTCGGCGGGCCAACACTCCAGTCTGGGCCACCATCAGGGCCTCCGATTTCTCAGGGCTGAATGAGAGCATATGCAGTGCCAGTGACTGACTCTGAGGTAACCCACACCATCAGCAACCTAGCGAATGATTTGTTCTATTGCTTCGTTGCTGCAACTCTCCATGTTGCTACGGCTGTAGCCTGCAACTACTAGCAACAGATTGTCAGCATATGCCTGCAACTGGACTTTGTCCAGGAGGACTAGTCATAGTGTCGTGTCTGCTAGAATGTTCCAAAGTAAGGGGCCGATACAGGATCCTTGGGGACAACCCCTCTCCAGTATCTTTGTATAGCTTACACTTGATGTAGACTACGTCGCGGTCACTCAGGAAGCTCCTGGTAAGTGATATAAGGGTGGTTGGCAGGTTTGCCTTCCGCAGTTCACCCAATATGGATGGCCACCAGACATTGTCAAAAGCCCGCGCAATGTCCATCAAAACGAGCGGTGTGTGGAGGCCCTGTTGGTGGTTCTGGTAAACCAGTGAAACCACCTGATGTAGTACGCAGCAGGTTGACAAGTCCGGCCGGAACCTATATTGGTTTGGGTGTAACAGCCTTTTCCGATTTAAGTGGTGGTACACTCTGTCACTAAGGATTCTGTCTAGAACCTTCTCTAGGACTGGCAAGAGACTTATCGGTCTATACGACTTTGGTTCGTTCTTCGGGTGCCTATTCTTGTGAATAAACACAAGACGTGCCCACTTCCACTGCACTGGGAAATGACCCAGGAGTAGACATTTCTGGTACAGAGCATGGAGCAGGCCAGGACATTCATGTTGCAGAACTTGTACCATTTTGGCCGTGATCCCATCAACGCCAGGTGCCTTCCCTTTCCGTAGGTTGCTGATGGTGTGGGTTACCTCAGAGTCAGTCACTGGCACGGGCATCTCAGCCTCAAGAATGGGCAACTCCATGTCACTTCGAAGCTGCCTCTGTTCTTTGATATTGTTGGACTGCTCATCGCATGGAAAATGCGAGCAGAGCAGCACCTGAATTGACTTCTCCTGTGTAGAGGTTAGGGAACCATCTGGCCTTTTGATGGACCCCAAGACCACTACTCTTAACTTTGCCCACCACTAGCTTGTAGGGTAGACAGAACGGGTTGTTGTCACTGATTTCCTGACAGAAACTGAGCCATGAGGTCTTTTTAGCATCGTTCAGTTTGTACTTGTACTCAGCGTTGGCCCTCTGGAACTCCAGTTTCCTGGTTGCCCGAAGGTCATCGTCCCTGCATCGTTGAAAGATGCACCGGAGCACCCTCGCATGCTTCCTCAGGACACTCAGCTCCTGGGTCCACCAGCTGGCAAACAACCGGCATTACAACTTCCTCCAGATCCCCGACACTCTCAACCTTAGAGACTTGGGTGGCAATATCGGCTGTCTTTTCTACGAGGCATTTGCTAAATTGATCACGGTTTCCAGCAGTCAGCTTGTAGCTGCTACTCAACCAGTCAGGCGAGCCACTCCTCACTTCAATGGCAATGAAGCGATGGTCGCTACAGCTTTCTGCATTGATTGTTTCCCATTGCGAGGTCAATCTCAGCATAGCCCCACTAATGATGGTAAGGTCAATCCAGCTCTCACCCATTGGAGAGGAGTAGGTAGCTATCCCAAACAGATCGTTCAGGATGTGCAACCCCACCCCTCTGCTTTGTCCTTCATCATGTTCCTGTCAGGATCTTCTACAGGTGAGCCCCACAGTGAGTGCTTGGCATTAAAGTCACCAGCCAAGACATCCTTACTGCAGAGCATGACAACCCCTTCGAGTTCATTCAGAAGGTCTCCCAGTTTTGGCGATGGCGGGCGATAACTGGAGACTGCAACCCAAACACAGGTGGGTGACCGTATTTCTACGGCCACTACAAGCCGCAAAACGTGGATGGCATACGCATCAACATTCCTACGCGTGAGAATAACTGCAGCTCAACAATCGTCACCTTCTTGGGCGAAAACATTCCATTGTAATGAGAGGCCACCGACCTTTCCTTGTACTAGGTACGGCTCTTGAAGAAGAATGATATCTATCTCCCGCTCCGCCACTTCCACCCGTAATTGGGCAGTTGCGGCGCGACACTTTTTGGCGTTAAACTGCATTATTTTGCAGCCGCGCTTGTTCATCTGCTGTGTGTTAAAGAAGACAGAATCGAACACAAGAGGCTCATTCCCATTTACTGACCAAAGTCAGTTCGAGCCTGAACTCTTTCGAGCTCCCGTGTGTAACATGGTCAGCTGGCACTCATTGCTTAGTGTCCAATATCCAGCTGCAGGCTGAACCTTTGGTTCACTCTCATGCAGTTAATGCACTTAGGCTTGGTGGCCTTGCACTCCTTGTAAGAGTGGTCCGCGGCACACCTGCTACATGCTTGAGCCACCGCTGAGCAGCTCTTGGCTACGTGATTGTAACCATAGCATTTGTAGCATCGGGTGATTGCTAAATATCTCTTCACTCAGTTGCGCGTTCGCCCAATGTGTAGCTTTCCTCGTTTGAGGAACTCATGATATACGGTAGGCTTTGTTTCAGAATCACATTTTCCAGTTCTACATGAATTCCTTGTTCTGCCAGTTCTTGAAGGCCATTGTTGGTAAGGCTCTCACCAGAAACCTGCAGTAACATTTCAATATCCTACTCATCTACATCTCCTACTCCTGCTGTATCGATTAGGTTGACAATATGATAAAAAGGTGCAGAACATCATTAAAAAGTAGGGATAAAAAAGGAAACCACCTGTTTATACTGTTTTTAAAACCATTGTTAGTCAACTGACTTCATTTTCCTAATCAATTGCAGGAAGAAATTTAAAATTTTGGGAAGGAGTACTTTTCAAATTCAAATTCAAAACTATTTACAATTGAAATTTGTCAGCTAATCAATAGCATAATTTAACTTTTTGATCATTAAATGGGCAGGAAAATCAATTAGAAATTTTTTAACTATTGATATTGTAGAATCAACATGAATGAATTTCATTTGTAATTTTGTGCAGAAGCTTAAGAAAGGCAGTAAATGATGCTAGTTGAAGAGAATGGTTGAAAAGGCTGCAAAATTGGGATTGAAAATTCAGTTTAAATGGATTAGAAGATTATTTTCTGATGGCTGGTTATGGTTTCCTGTAAAAATGAGGCCAGCATTAAAAGTAGTGTAGCAATGCAGATTCCATGCTTACTAATAATGCTTTGATGATTGACAACTGATGAATTCTGTTCAATGCCGTTAAAATATATGAACTTTGGACTCAAACTTGCTAAGTTTTAGATTAGTTATTGGTCCAAGTAAAAGTGAAAAGACTCTACAAGCCTGGTACTTGGAACTGAAAAACCTTACTCTTTGGTTATGAGAAATTTTTATGGACAGTGCTAATAAATGATCACCTAGAAAGCTTTTTCTTTTTATTTTTTTTCTTAAAAAAAAGAATAGATTTATATTTGGTTTGACATACTCGAATTTGATTTTGTTTGGTTTGATTGATTGAGGATGAAAAGATTTATTGTGAAAATACTATCTATCTTTTATTATTATTATGTTTGTATTCTAATTAAAAGAATTAACACCAGAAGACAGTGGTTTTTTGTTTTATTGTTAATTTGATATGGTATCATCCTACTTATTATAATTATTATGTAACAATGGAAAAAAATTTATTAACTAAAAAAAATTATAAGAGAAATAAAATCAGTAACTCAGACTAATATTTTACATTTCAATGTTATGGCTCTGGCTTTAGTTTCAGTGAAACAGAAATGCATCAAATGGTACTGTTTGTTAATATTTTTAGAATTCCTAATTGAATTTTTCTCTTCCTTTTAAAATTCTAATTAATTATTATAAATATTTTTGATTTTTATAGGTTAATGTTTTGGACTGATTGGGGAGAAATGCCAAAAATTGAACGAGCTAGTATGAATGGAAATCATTCGACACGAAAAATAATAGTCAAAGAAAATATATTTTGGCCAAATGGACTTACTATTGACTATGAAACAAAAAGGTATATTTTCATTAATTAGTTTTTTTTAATTGTATACAATATGTATATATATAGTTTTTTGTTATTTTCTTATAAAACATAACAAATAAATTTTAATCATAACATAAAGAAAAAATCTTATAACTTAAGATACTTTTTCTTTGCCATTGATACCAGTCAAAGAATAAAAACAATAATATACAAAATATATACAAGTCATCTGTAAGATATTCATTTTAGAATATTTATATATTTCAATTCAAAAAGAAAAGAATAAATTTTGATTTGTTATCTAAAGATATTTTTCCTGAAAAGAAAGCTGAATTAACTAGTTGTTAGATATCTTACACCAACTATAAACTCAAATTGATTTATATATATTAATATAATATATATTATATATGTTTGTTTATTGTATTAGATTAAATGGGCATAAGTTTTTATGTATATTATACATAGTTTATTTAAAGAAGCCAATAATATTTTTTTCATTTCTTATGAGAAAGGAATAATATTTTTTTCTGATAATATTAAAAATACAGGAGAAAGAGAAGTGGATGATTTTAAATATTGCAAAGAAACTAATACGCTGCTGTTGATAAAGGAAGGTATCTTCTGTCAATCTAGGATCCTCAGAATTAAATTTATGAAAATAAAAGAAAGTGTATTGTTCTTTATACTTTACCAAACGATCGCCTAAATATCGGGCTATAATACGGCTAATTAAATGATTGGAATAAAGTAATTTGACACTTGAGGTAGACGTTAGGCGCCATCTCTTAAATAAATTAATAATTAAAATTAATTAAATAAATTTAGAACCTTCTGGAATAAAAGAACTGGCAAAAATCTGACAACAAAGTATAAAAGTTCTTTATACTTTGTTGTCAGATTTTCTAAAATGGAAGTCTGGAAAGACCTAGGTCTTATTAAGTTTGAAGATATCTCAAATTTTAATTGTTATTCACTGATAAAATTTTGCATGGGAGCAGTATAAGAGATTATAAAATTCTTTTCAGTCTTAAAGCACATAATTTAACCTTTCATTAAGAAAAATTTTTTCCTCTAGTTACAGATACATGAAAGATAACTAATATTTAAATGTTTCTTTTAGTTTTCTGAAGTCCAGTAAATAATTATTAGAAATGCAAATTATTAAGTTTGGCATTATTATACAAAGAAATAATTTTAAAAATCCTATATTGAGAGATCACTACTTTATAGTTTAATTTATTCAGGATTTTATAGGTATATAAATTAACTTAAAGTAGTTTGTAAATGTATCTATTTTATCATGAAAATGATTTAGGAGAACTAAACCAATGAGTGAGATAATATATCAGTACAGTAGAATCTCATTTTAATGGATTGTGTAACAACAGATTTCTTGGAATAACATTTTATTCCAGGTCCCACCAAATGAGTGTAATTTTACCTCCTTTTAGTGGATCCATTATTTAGAATAATAGATTTTTTTCTACCCCAAATCTATTGTAAAGTTTGCATTTTTTCAACGTTCAGTTAATATTTAGGTGTTTTTGGAAAATCTATAGAGTTTGATGATGCACTTGTTACATTTGAAAGTCAGCCGGCGGATACAATTGAGGAGAAATTACAGTAGAGCATTGTTTATCCGAAAGCTGATCAACTGAAATGTCGGTTAACTGAAAGCGTTACAGTTGGACTGTGTCATGCTGAATCAAACATTTTTGATACTAGATTAACTTCCAAAATATAATTTTTTTGTTTTTATATTTTTCAATATATTTATTTTGTTTGTACAAAATAAAGAAATAATTTTTAACAATACAATTGCCACGATTATTATTTCTAAAAATTTACATTAGGCTTAACATTGATGAAAATTCAACGCGAAGCGACATGCAACGAAGAAAATTTTCAACGTGGGATAGGTTAATGTATTTTTTGTACATAATCAATTATCCGAAAAATAAGTTATCTGAACAACCCCAGTCCCAATTGATTTGGATAAACAACACTCTACTGTACTTAATGAACACCATCACTGGTCCAAGTGTATTGTAGAAATTTAGTGAGTCATTGAGTATTTCCAGCTTCCCAACGAGTTTCAGCATAAACCTTCAGCATAAGACCTTCCCAACGAGTTTCAGCATAAACGAACAGGCTGTACTGAACGTGATATTGCTAATGTTAAGCAGTGTCATATTTAATAGACAGAAAATCAGCATTGAAAGAAATCAAGATGGACAAGTTTTTTTTAACAAATTGTTAAGTCAAGCAGAGTGCTAATGAACATACATAATTTGCCTCTTTTTATGCTTACAGTATGTACAGTTTTCGTCAGCTTTGTCGTACACACGTATGACATAATATACATACGTTATAAATATGTGTTTTTATAGGATAAAGAATAGAAATCTCAAGAGACTGAATAATTGCAGCTACTGGTATTTCTTATATATAGAGGTTAAAAAGTGGAAATTTTTTCAAATAATGGATATTTTCCTGGGTGTATGGGAAATTCATTGTTCGCGATATAATGGATTCTCAGAACAACGATAAATTTCAACGGCCTGAGTGATCCATTAAATTAGATTCTTCTGTACGTACAAACACCAAAAATTAGCGGATAGAGATTAATATAATAAAACATAATCTGTATCATTTTTGTAATTTTTTTTAGAATATATTGGGCTGATGCTAAGTTGAAGTTTATATCTGGTATGGATTTTGATGGACGTAGTCGGAAAGTTATTGTAAATCGTGATCTCCCTCATCCGTTTTCTTTGACATTATATGATGATCGATTATATTGGACAGATTGGCAAACAAGAACTGTACAATCTTGTAATAAATATGATGGACATCAGAAAAAAAATGTAATTGGTGGTTCATTGTCTCCAATGGGAATTCATGTATATCTGAGTGAACGACAACCAAATGGTAATTCAATTTTTTTTTTTNTGGGATCCAGATCCCAACATCACCCTTAGATATTCAAAACTTATTTTTTTAATTATTATTATTATTATTATTTTGCAAATGTCATGCTAAGATGATACTGGTGCCAAGTGCTATGCCGGACTAAAGTAAAGGCATAGCTACTCAAACAAGTGTTACATTAAGCTTCTGTGTTATTGGTATGTGTGTCAACATCTAGAAATTTATTATTATTAAGTATCATATACATTTACACATTTATTTGAATCATTTCATATTTCTGTGTGCTGAATTTATTTCATAGTAAAATATCACTGATGTAAAACTTCAAGTAGTAAATATAAATTGTTTTCAAAAGACCTAAATATTCAATACTTAAACTACCACCTTAAGTAAATTCTGGCTATGCCACTACAGTATAATTTCGATATAGAAACAAAATAAAATATCACTCATTTTTTAAAGTTGCTCATATATGTTTATCAATTATTTTTGATAAACATTAGCTGATTGAAGAAAATTTTCAAAGTTTAATTATTTAATTTAATTTACAGATAACCTTTAAAAATAATCAAGGAAATGTTATTCTTACTGATGATCAGCTGCGAGGTACATTAAGGGTAAGTTTTTTTTAATAATAATATAAACTTATATGAATTATTAGAAATAATTTTTTTTAAATATTTATTAATATAGTTAAAATTATTAAATTAAAATTATAATGATAAAAGTCTACTTAAAAGTAAACCTTGGATCATCACTAAAAGAGAAAATATTCACAAGTTACATTATCATTAAAAAGTACCTACTTTTTTATTGTTTGATACATTTAAGAGTTTTCAGTTCCCAGCAAAAATGGTTTAATTCAACAAATGTTTTTGGCCTGTCTAATAGACCATTTTTAAGTTACAGCTCTAAAGTTGGCATTTGTTAATATATGTTTGAAAATGGAAAGAATATGGATGAAACTTGTGCAGTTAAAAAACTTAGATTTAAATAACATTCTATACAAAAGATGCCAGAGGAAGAAATAAATATAAAATTCAAAATTCCAAATACATAATGTACAGTTTAAAATATTTTTTTGAATAATATTTCATTCTAGTAACATGCTGTAGAAGGATTAAATACATAAATAGATATAAATATTACAAATATTAGTAAATTTGTATATTTATTAATATTTGTAATTATCTTTTATTGTCAGGAGTTTGGCTCATAATATTTGTGTTTATCTTTATTATTACTTTTGATAGCATTTTTAAGCTAAGTGCAAATCAGTGAATGCTTTTATTTTTGATGTGATGCCAGGTATCATGACTGTGTTTTTTCTGATACTTATACAATGCTACTTGTGATATTATCAGATTTACTTGATTGTAAGAAACAACATGTTTTTTAAAACTATGTTAACTGATACAAAATAAAGATTTGTCTTACAATCATTGTCATCATACATTTGTAGTCCAAAACAAGAATCAGTAGTTATTGCAAAAAGACCCTAATAATAGATGTTTTTGCTATATTTCTTGATCAGATAAGTTTAATTGAGCTTTATCTGGTAATGAGAGTTTAATTTAAATTCCTTTTAATGGTCAAAGTACCTTTTTTTTTTTTTTTTTTAACTCTTTCTGCCCTGTGGGCACTAAGAGGGCCTCTTTTTTGCGAGCCCATTATGGGTTCGGCCAGGCCACAATAGGGCTGCTGGGTGGTGAGGGACAGGGTCTGACATATTTGAACAGACCACCCCCGAAAAACTCCTGGGGATTTTTCAACCTATTTGGATTTGAATCTGGGTCCTCCAGAGCAGTAGGCTACCACCTTGACTGCTCGGCCATCCGACCGCTTGTTCAAAGTACCTATAAGGGAACAACAGCATTGAATGATATTGCTGTTGAATCATTAAAATATTGCTACTACATGGCATTTTTCCCCCTTATGATGCAGCATTAAAAGAAAAGTTATTGTATATGCAGAAGATTATGGAAGTAGAGTTGCTAAGCATGATCTGTTTTATCAGATTTTTATTGTTTAGAAAAACAATAAAAATCTGATAAAACTTGTTACTTAACAAGCTTTTATAAAATTGATTATTTTAAAGTTTTACCCTCTGCAAAACAATTTGAAAATTCAGTTTCAAAATCATGGTGTATCTTAGAATAAATCCAGTATTATAAATAATCAATAACTGTTTCATATAATTTTTCATTACATATCTATATATATAAAATTACATGTCCTGACTGACTGAATGACTGACTCATCATTGCCCAGAGCAAACCACTGAATCTAAAGAGGTGAAATTTGGTACACAGTTAGGGTATATCATGAAAATACGCACTAAAAAGGGATTTTTTGAAATCCCCTGCGGGGGAGAGGGAAAGGATTAAGGCTTAACCTGAAGAACGGTTTCTAATGTACTATTTTAGATGTGATTTTTTTTTTTTTTTTGTTAGTAATAACTTAATTTCCAAACATACAATATTTACTAAATCATCCAAATCGTTTTCCCAAGCAATGCTGGGCTCATGAAAATACGCACTAAAAAGGGATTTTTTGAAATCCCCTGCGGGGGAGAGGGAAAGGATTAAGGCTTAACCTGAAGAACGGTTTCTAATGTACTATTTTAGATGTGATTTTTTTTTTTTTTTTTGTTAGTAATAACTTAATTTCCAAACATACAATATTTACTAAATCATCCAAATCGTTTTCCCAAGCAATGCTGGGCTCATTTGCTAGTTGAGTTATATAAAGCACTGATAACAGAATAAAACTAAATGAAAAATATGCTAAAATAAGATGTAGAAATTGAATGTTTAAGAATAAAAAAATTTTTGAGGCCAGAATGTCTCTATCAGATGAATGTTTTATTCAAAATAATGAATGTAAATTGAAATGAATATTTTTTAGAAAAGAGCAAAATATTTTAAAAAACAAATTATAAAAAAATTAAAAATCTAAGAACAAAAATTGAAAAAATTAAGAATTAAAAAATTATAAATAAAAATGACAGAAATTAATTTATATGAAATGCAAAAAATAAAATAACACTACATTAACTTGTAATGATATAGAAATTAGATATATTTGAACAAAATACAGCATACTTTTAAATGACAACAACAAAAAGCTAGGCCCAAATATGTTATAAAGCTCTTTCTAAAGGGACAAACTTAATAATATTAAGTGAAGATTAATAGAAAATTGATTAGATTTTGTGCTGAACTAGATAAGTTATGTCTCTCTCTAATAATGAATAGCAAGCTGTAAAATGGACTGTTGCAAGAGATTAAGGACTGTCAAAACTAAAAACTCATCAAGGATGAGTGTTTTTCACAACCAACTAAATAACCTATTTAAGAAGATAAAACATTGGAATGACAAAAATCATATGGTTATATCCTATTCAATAAAGGAAACCTTCACATCATAATCAGGAGAGAGAAGAATCAAGAACATTTTATATCTTGAAATCTTAGTCATTGACTTTACTCAAGACCCAATCCCTGCCCTCCTCAGAAAGATTAAAGTAATAGGTAATAACAGACTTTCACTAGAGTTATCTTTTGGAATTCCAGACAAGCAACTACATAGGTCTAATTGGCCACTAGTAAAAAAATCCCAATGGTAAAAATACACTTTTAGCATTGGCGTGGAAGAAAAGTTGACCAGTTTCACAAGAAAAACAATTTTTTGAAGGTGTTTTATATCAAAGAATTCAGAAAACTTTCTCTGGATTTTTATAGAGAAACATGGAATGTTAGATTCCTAACAGTGTCAATAATTGCTCATAGTTTTTGACTGAGTTTCTATCCGTCCTTACACTTAGAAGTGATCTATGGTCTTATTTTAAGGCTGGTCAGTAAGGCTTTCAATAACAAGCAGAATAAAGTTATTCCAGAATATCTATACAATTACTTATTCTTCATATTTTACGAGGTTGGGGAAAAAGAAATCCATTATTTTTATGTTCATTTCAAGTCTTTATTTAACATGGTTCCGGTTGTTCGACTTGGATCAAATATGCACCGTTTTGTTTTATAATTTGTTGCCATTTTAAAGGTAACTTCATAATTCCTCTCTTGTAGGAGCCCTGGTCCCTATTGGCGAAAAACTTGACTAAGTGATTTTCGCAATCCTCTCTTGATGCCAATTTCTTATCACCAAGGAAATTTTGTAATGATAAAAAAAGATGGTAATCGCTTGGTGCCAGGTCTGGACTATTAGGTAGATGCATCAAAACTCCCCAACCAAGCTCCCGGAGTTTCTGGCAAGTCACTATAGATGTGTGTGGCCTGGCGTTGTCGTGATGAAGTACAACACCTCTCCTGTTAGCCAATTCTGGCCGCTTCTGATCAATCGCTAGCTTCAAACGGTCCAATTGTTGACAGTAGAGGTCCGAATTTAGTGTTTGGCCATATGGAAGCAGCTCATAGTAGATGATTCCTTTCCAGTCCCGCCAAATGCACAGCAAAACCTTCCTGGCTGTTAGTCCTGGTTTAGCCACCGTTTGAGCCGCTTCACCACACTGACCACGATCGTTATCGCACAATATTGCCATATGTAACCCATTTCTCATCCCCAGTCACCATCCGTTTAAGAAATGGGTCGATTTCGTTCCGTTTGGCCAAGGCTTCGCAGATGGAAATTCGATCCATAATGTTTTCTTCCGTCAATTCATGTGGCACCCAAACATCAAGCTTCTTTTTGAATCCAGCTTTATTCAGATGGTTTAGAACTGTTTTATGGTCAATCTTTAGCTCCTGGGCAATGCTACGAGTGCTAACGTGCCAGTCTACTTCTATCATTTCCATGATTTTATTGACATTTTCGACAACGGGCCTACCTGTGCGAGGTGCATCTTTAACATCGAAATTACCAGAACGGAACTGACGAAACCAAAATTGCACATAATTGGCTGTGACAGTATCAGGACCATAAACACCATTCACAATTTCAGCTGCCTGGCTTGCATTTTCGCCTTTATCGAAGCAAAATTGTAAAACATACCTAATTTTCTCTTTGTTAACTTCCATCTTTTACAACCTATAACTCACAACTGAATTGACCAATCAAAAAACTGTAAAATAATTTTTTTAGTACAGAATGTCACTTTTCCAATAAGCACAAGTCTGACCTTGTGTCATCAATATTTTATGAGATATGTATCACTACAGCCATCTAGTGAAAAAATAATGGATTTCTTTTTCCCCAACCTAACATGATGACTATATTTATAAACAGTGAAGGTACTGATAGGTTTACCTGTAACAAATGAGTTTTGGAGCTTTGCTTAAGTTTTACATAGGCTCCAACGATAAAAGAATTTCAGCAGGTCAGAATAACCAACTTTATTTACAATTGTCTTCATATACTGAACATTAATCATCATATACGATATGTTTAAAGAAGTCAGTTTTAACACTGATAAAAACATTACTAAAGATGAGCAATATCTCATTGTCAGATCAGAATTTAGATCCTTGGATATGAGCAATACAGGAAATCCTTGTTAGTTCAAAATTCAAGGGACAAAATAATCGGAACTTTGAATTATCGAGTTTCAAATTATTCAAGATTTACATATTTCTGTACAATATGCCAAATGTCATGTAACTGATGTAATTTATTAAATATTAAACCTGTATGTCACATTTCTTCTGGTGACGTAATGGTTACACTCACATTGAAGAAAATTGTGAAGTTTAACTTCTTTCAAATAGTATGTTCTATCTTAATAATGTTCTAAGCACTCTGGAATGCTAAGTTTAATTGTCATTCTATGGTTGTTCAATTTGGCAAGTAGTATCTTTAGTTTGATGTGGAGCTTGGCTTTCAAACTGATGATGAGACAATGTTCGTCTTGAAAAATATTTTATTGGTGTTAAAAACTGATTTACAGGATGTCAAATACAGTATTTAAACATATAGCATATAATGATTATGGAATTGTATGTTTTGGCATGACTAGTCTGGCACAAGAAAGTTTTGACGAGAGAATGTGTAAGAAGACTTTTCTCTTGATTCAGTATTATTTGACATTAATGTTAGTTAATATCAATGTTATTGTAACAGCAATTCTTACAACAAGTCATCATGAAAACAACAAGATAGTTTGGATTGAGCTCCTAGTGTATTATCAATCAACATATTCTATAAATTTTAAAACATTTTGCAACTTTGTGTTCATAATTTTGCCTAACATAATTTGAGAGAACTAATAATCTAATACCAATAAAATTTGTTTTCCATTAATGAACTAGTCTAAAAATAAAAACAAAGTGCAAAAAATTATAAAGTATTATAATTTAAATACAGTGGAACCTTGCTTAACGAGCACGCTCATAATGAGTAATTGGCGTAACGAGCAAAACAAATTGCAAAAAAATGACTTGCTTAACAAGTGACAAGAAGAGGGGAAGTCCTGGATTGTGCACATGCTACGTCAATCTGTGTCTAGCACTTGTTCTGCTAGCATCTTAGCATTGCTCGTAATCACACATTTTTCCAATTTTGTGTTCAGACATATTACGTTATAAACATCAACAACCATAGCCCATTATATAATAAACATGCCAAATGATATTCCAAATTCTTAGGCTATGTAAAGGCTATAATTAAATATTAGAAATTAAATAATTTGACTAGAGGTAGGCAGTTATGTTGCCATCTCATATTAAATTTGCCTTCCAGGTTGATTCATTCCACACTAGAAGAAAAGATGATGGTAATTTACACTCGTTAACAATGTATATTGTATAATTTTCTTTGAATAAACGTTATACATAAAATATTTGAGTATTTTTTTCGGCATGGAATGCATTATCATATTTTACATTAATTTATATGGGAAAAATTGTCTCGCTTATTGTATGTTTTGCATTATGAGTAAGATTCTGGAATGAATTATACTTGTTAAGTGAGGTTTCACTGTAGTACTGTTATATCATTTATAAATTTTCATCTTAATAATTTTGATTGTGTAACAAAATAGGTAAATTTTGATTTTCTTCCAGTTTCTTAATATAAAATTTGGGAAAAATTACTAAATAGATTTTTGTGTATTTAATATTTTTGTAACAGATTATATGATTTATTAATAAATAATAATTAAAAAGTAACTGATCTTTTTTTCTTATGGAAGTCATATAGTTTTATTATTGCAGATTAATAACAGAATAAGTTATTTTTATATAATCAAATGTCTTATTTTAAATCATGATAATTCAGCAATTCTAAAAAGATTTTGTTTCTTCCTAATTAACAATTTTAACTAATTAAAAATTTTAATTTGCAAAATGTGTCAGATAATTATTAATAAATGTCATGTCCTACAAATGTGGTGAATGACTTACTATACAATACACATCACTGTTATAACAACATTGACATTAATGTCAAATAATAATAATAATATGATAATGGACTTGGTTTCATAAAACCAAAATGATCAAAATGTTGCTTTCTCTTGAACAGTTGCCATTGTAAAATATCTCATTATATTATCTCCCAGACATCAGTATAGCAAGTATAGGATTGCCAAATGAAATTTTTTGTGTTATATTTTGTAAGAAGTTTTATTTTGTTGTTTTTGGTTGGAAAATTATAGGACAGAGAAATCTAAACAATAATCTAGAATAGCCCTAGATTACTAACACATTATTGATATTATTATATTGTTCATTATTTTAGGAACTTTTAAATTTCATAATGACTCTTTCAATTTATGTCAGTTTTAGATTGTATTGGAATAAAACTATAAGTATTTTTATGTTGACTTGTTAGTGTGTTTGTAAGCTAGATTTTCTAAGTCCAACCATAATTAACTCATATTTAGTAGAATATTTATATCTAATTTAATACTAGAAATCGGATGCTTTTAATTTTTTAATGCCAATGCATCAAAAAATTCATTTATAAGTATTGAATATTATTATTTGAAATAAAAATATTCTACTTATTCCAAATATTTAGTTATTTAGTTAACATTTCTTTCAATGAATTTCTTATTCAGTATTCATTTATCTTTAATCTATTTTCATATTATGTTTGCTTTTCTAGGTTGGGGCACATGTTGAAGCAAAACATCCAGAGAAGAATCAATATATCGAGGCAGTTATTAACAAAATAATAGATTACAGCCAATATACAGTTGGTAAGTTAAAAATATATTGTCATATACAGTAATACCTCGACTTACGCGAACTCGGAGTTACGTGATTTTCAAATCTCATCGATTCGTCTTTTGTTTGAGCACCACGCAACTCTTGATTACTCACGTACCCCACACTATTATTCAGCTTACATGTTCGGACGTGTCACGCGGAATCAACGCATAGCTACAATTTATTTTGTGTTATTTATTTCTGTGTTTGTTATATCTACAGAGACTTGAGAGACTCTATGTGGTGATTTCTTGTAACCGTGAACGAATCAAAAGACAAAATAAGATTAAGGAGAACATTTATTAGCTTACATACATCCGACTTGGATTTTACACAAATTGCGACATTATACCCTGACTTACGCGAATTCGACTTACGCGGTTATCGCTCGGTCCCACCTATCGCTTAAGTTCGGGGTATTACTGTACTTACTTTTTGTATATATTTTTGATAACCGCTTAAAATATTATCTAGATATAATGTTTTTATTCTAATTTAAACTTTTTTCTCCTCTTTTAGGAGAAAAAAGGCTATAAAAAAAACTTCCAATTAAATNCGATCGTTTTTGCACAATATTGCCATATGTAACCCATTTCTCATCCCCAGTCACCATCCGTTTAAGAAATGGGTCGATTTCGTTCTGTTTGGCCAAGGCTTCGCAGATGGAAATTCGATCCATCAAGTTTTTTTCTGTCAATTCGTGTGGCACCCAAACATCAAGCTTTTTTTTGAATCCAGCTTTATGCATATGGTTTAAAACTGTTTTGTGGTCAATCTTTAGCTCCTGGGCAATGCTACGAGTGCTAACGTGCCAGTCTACTTCTATCATTTCCATGATTTTATCAACATTTTCGACAACGGGCCTACCTGTGCGAGGTGCATCTTTAACATCGAAATTACCAGAACGGAACCGACGAAACCAAAATTGCACATAATTGGCTGTGACAGTATCAGGACCATAAACACCATTCACAATTTCAGCTGCCTGGCTTGCATTTTCGCCTTTATCGAAGCAAAATTGTAAAACATACCTAATTTTCTCTTTGTTAACTTCCATCTTTTACACCCTATAACTCACAACTGAATTGACCAATCAAAAAACTGTAAAAGAATTTTTTTTAGTACAGAATGTCACTTTTCCAATAAGCACAAGTCTGAACTTGTGTCATCAATATTTTATGAGATATGTATTACTACAGCCATCTAGTGAAAAAATAATGGATTTCTTTTTCCCCAACCTAATTTTAGATCTAATAACCGAGGTGATTATATTGAACTTGTTTATTTATCCAACGTACTTAATAAATAATCTACAGTCGACCCCCCTATAAGACGGTAGATACGTTCCGTCCTTTATGAATCGATTTCTTACGAGTCCTTGCCAATCACAGCCCGACACGTGTGAAGTTTACGGACTACGACTGTTTGAAAAGTTTTCTTCCATAAAATTAATCGATTCTAGATTAATCCGACTCAACATTTCCAAAATACGTATATTTTTTTCGGAAATAATCCGTATAAACTACGCTATAAACAAAAAATTGTAGGATTACTTACCGAGTGTGCACCATTCGACATCGCCGTTGCTCAAGCTTGTTTTCGTCGCGGAACAGCTCAGCAAACCGCGGCTGCGATTTCTGATGTTATTTTCCTGCGAAAACTTCGTTGAATTTTCGAGACATCATTAATATAAATAATTTTAATCGCCGTTGAATAAGGAATGTTTCTTTCACACGAATAGGGTTGCCACCTGTCCGGATTTGACCCGGAGACTCCGGGATTGAGTGAGTTATCTCCGGGCTCCGGGGTTAATTAATATTTCTCCGGGTTGTGCAAGTTGAAATGAATATGTACAAAATTAAATGCAAACCGTCGCATATATTTCTTCCCCGTGTACCGAATTACTAGTGTGGTAGTCGTTGGCATAGGCGCAGTGCTGCTTTCTGCTTGTACGATTCATTCATAATCATATACACCTCCAATATCCAATAGAGTTAGGTCACTTGTGTTACTCCTATCCAAGTCTCCTTAGTCACTAACTGTAACTGATTTAGAACCGGCATGCACTGCAAATTATTCTTCGCATTGAAAAATGACATTGCGCATGCGTCAGGAACTTCTGTTCGAACAAACCTCACCTGCCCTCCGGGTCAGCGANTTTGTCAAATTTTTATTCATAAAAATGCAGTTTCAACTGCTTTTTATTTTATAAAATCCGTCTTCTTGCGCCACCAGAGGGCCTTTTAAACAATAGGTAGTCTGCTAGCTTTGGTCAGTAGTAGTTCAAACACAATACGAACGTTTGTTTCTTGAAAATTTGATCACGATTTAAATACAGTATTTACTTTTAATATTACCGATATGTCATCGAAAAGAAAACGTGTTCTATTATCATTAAAAGGCAAATTAAAGTATTTGTTTCGGTTAACCGGATTTTTGCTTATCCGGACTACCTTCATCCCCAATTAGTCCGGATAATCGAGGTTCTACTGTACTTACAAGTTAGACCCATGTCAGAAGAATTACAGTATTAACAAAATAATTGCAATTTGATACGCGATAGAACTGTTCGAATGCGTACAAGTTCAAATTGAGAAGGAAGCTCTGTGGGGATTCACTAATTTTGCCAGTCCTATCAACTTCTGTCATAGAGCACGACTATGGGCACTTGGCTTTCGGATGGTTCAACCTGCCGACAGACGTTTCGCATTGCATCTTAATTTCTTATAAATGCCAATAGAGGCGCTGTTAACGCTATAATATAGTCTAAATAAGAATATTGTAATTGCGCTCCGGTCGGATTTTTTTCTCTTTGCGAAGACATTTCTTATACTATAAGTAGGGTGGGTATTGGGACAATGACTTTGAATATTACGTGACCGATCGCTCGATTTGCCGCCCCCCTGGACGTGCCGCCCGCGTGCGGTGCACGCCTTGCACGCCCGCTTACGGCGGGCCTGATCAATATATAATTATATGTACAGTACCTAATTTATATATAATTAATATATAATTATATGTACAGGCGAAACTAAACTCAATTTACCAGCCTAAACTGTCCGTAGCGTGGCGCTGGACGGCGGGAAAGTAGTTCGGCTGCCCAATGACATTTTACGTAATTATAGGAGTTTTTTACCGTTGTGCACGGATACCGCCACAATTTTTTCGCCGTCTTATAGGAATCGTAATTATAGGAACCCGTCTTATAGAGGGTCTACTGTATTAAAAATACATTTAAAAAAAGAATTAACTGATTGCCCCTGGAAGTCGGCTTCCCTATCATAAAATGTCACGGCACGCCGCAGGGGTACGTACCAAATAACTTTTGCTTTGTAAAATGATGAATAATGTCAAACAGACTGTCACTGTGCTGTTTCTAAGATGATACTTTTTGATGATAAGCAGAGAAGTTAACCAATGCCGAAACACACCGATGATGCCGTTGACACATGTATATAAGGGTCGAGGAACTCATGTGCAGTTAAATCAGTCTTCGAGAACCTTGGTTGTTGTGCGTTAAATTTGGTTTAGTAGTGCGGCTGACTTTGGTTTGTTGTGTTGTTGTGCATCTGTTTAAGGGCCCACCAGTGGCCTAGCGGTCTTCGTACCCTGAACACTGGGAGTTCGGCGCGGGTTCGCATCTCGCTCGGACGGGCTGGCCACGTGGAGTTTTCCGGGTTTTCTCCACGTCCCTAACGCCTAAATAGGGGCCAGTTTCCCTTAAAAGACCTCCCGGAAGGCACCCTCCCGGGCAGAACACCGAAGTGTTGGTCTGCCATAATCAATCAAAAAAACAGCGTCTACAGTAGAGCATCGATTATCCGATTCCCGATTAACCGTCTACTCGGCAAATCGATCGTTTTGAATACAATTTAAAATATTTCGAAAAAAATTATTGCTCCCGTCTTTCTGATGACTATAGGTATATTTTCGACTGAGACGTCACACTTGTTTGCATCTTCGCAGCATCTTAGTTTCTTTTCTCTACCGTGGAGACAGTTAAGCGAAGTGTTGAAATTAAAAAATCGCCAAATATTTTCAGATGGTTGGCAATAATTTTGTGAAATATATTTTTCCACCTATAAAAGTGACAACGAATAAACAAATAAATAATTAATTAATCAAATAACTGATTAATATTTGTAATTGTTATCAAAATTGTAAATTGCTATGTGTTCGAATTATGTAAAGAAAGTGATTTTCTATTACGTCCACGGTAGCATTTTTTTTTTTTATTGGCTGGCATTATTTTGACGAGCGCACAAGTTAAAGAAGATTGCCAACGAACTAGAGTAGACCAGCCGCCAGTAGCAACTAAAACGCAGCAACAACAAGCAATAATCAAACAGCAATGGCGTATATTCAAACATTTCAACATTTCAACAAATATTCAAACAGCAATGGCTTTTTCTGTACCTCGTTCATCTCTCTCGTTCGTTAAATTTAGTTGTAAATTATGCTACCAAAGTAACTGTTATTTTTTTAACATTATACAAGAATTGCACACGTTTTTTTTCTACATTCCCTTAAAGGTGGGACTTACAAAATCGTAATATCACCGGTTTAACATTGAAATCTGCGAGTAATATAAAATCGGAGTGCGGAATAAAAAATATCAAATATTTTAATGGATTTTTTTAAAACTCCCGTCAACTATACAGAAAACTATCGTAAAAACATAACCCAACCGATAAGAATTTACTGGTAAGTTATAAATCTACTCGCGATTCGCGTAATCGGGCGAGGGCGGCCAAATATCTAGCGGGCGGGCGGATAACGGCCCGGATAGAATTGGATGCGTTATACGTGTAGCAGCCACCAGGGGTCCTAGACTTCCACCGGCTAAACCCAAGGTCTTGTAAATCTAAGACCTTGGACGATACGGCGCTTCCATTCTGCCACTAATATTCGAATATACAATAGTGATCTTATCTTTTTTTCGCTTGTATTATAGAAATTTGTAATAAGATACGTAATGAGGTTATAATAAAATATTGTGCGATTATTTTCGTATAATTAAAATTAATATGTATTTATTTCTTAGAAAATACAAGGAAGCGGCGCATCCACCGCTTCTAATGACGGCACGCCACTGAAATGTACTGTGTTCGAATTTTAATGTTTTTTCTTGATAAAGGTCATTTAACATGGCCGAAAGCGTTAGGAAGTTAATAAATTTGGCTGCAAGTTTACAAGCTGTTAGGTTATTAATTGTAATTGTTTACAATTAATAACCTAAACATTACATGATATACAGATCAAGTTATTACGTTAACTTGATCTGTGTGTCTGTGGTATCATTTGTTACAAAAGAAAGTAAAAAATTTCTTAACTTTTTGATACATTCAAAACTATATTTTAATTAACTAACTTTGATGGTGTGTCAACTACCTTAATACTACAGTTAGTGTTACCAACCATCCGGTTTTCATCCGGACAGTCCGGGTGAACTATCAATTTTGTCCGGGAATTTCGTGCTCAACCTGTCGATTTTATTTATTATTTTTTTTATTTTGCTTGTACGATTGGTACACGTCTCCAATCTCCAATAGAGCTAAGTCATCTGTAGTACTTCTTTCTTAATTTAGGTTACTTACGTTACTCCTACCCAAGTCTCCCTAGTCCCTAACTGTAACTGATTTAGCACGTTATTCTTCACATTGCAAGATGACATTGCGCGTGTGTCAGGAACTTCTGTTCGAACAAACCTCACCTGCTGTCCGTGTCAGCGATTTTGAAAAGGTGACAACACTAACTACATTACAGCAGTATTATCAGATTTAGGGAGTTCTATCCCTAGTTTTACATAGGGATACTTAAAGAAAACCTCACTGCCAGGATTCTACTTTATCTTTCTGCTCTGTGGGCATTACATCAAATAGTCTGAATTAGTAATTTCAGGATGTCATCATTCATTTCCTTTTTACAGCCTTCCATTATAGGTGCATCACACTCACCTATGAGAATGATGACTTTTTTTTCATGAAATGAGTGTACAAGATTTCAAACAATTTCAATCCCTTTTCTACATTACCTTGACGTAGCCCTTGTTCTCTATCTTGGCTATAATATTTCAGAAGTGTGTCCTGATCCATTCATCTCTTATTTTTCAAACTCTTAGAAATTGCTTCTATCAAAAGTGAAAGTGCTGCTGACCTGAATTCTCTGTCAATGAATAAATGTATAGTGTTGCTCGTACTGAATCCAACAAAGATACCAAGGCCATCAGAAATGGCTGATACACAGTATCTACCAAGGATTTTAAGGTGGTCTCCAGAAAACATACCTTTTGAGACAAGAACAAGTTTGTAAAAGATTTCTTTGAATGCAAAGGGTCTGTTGTCCAGGAGTAGGTTGTATTAACATGCAACCTATTTTAACATTAATAATAAACAAAAATAATGCTTTTTTTAAGTATATTCAGCTTTCAAGTTTTTATATATAGGATTATCATATCCTTTTGGACATGGTAATACTATTTATGGTATCAAAAAGAAGAATAACAAAATTACAAAATTATCTCTCTATTCAATAACACCTTGTTTTGTCATCCTTTTCAGAACAATGTGACCTCCATTCAAAATTTTTCATCTCGTAAGTCTAGTTATACAGAAATTATATTTTGTTAAATAGTGATATTTTTAAATTAAATTTTATATACAGTATATATATAAATTCATTCTTTCCTCTCTACATTCATTAAGATGCCTTTATTCATATCCATAAGTTCAGTAGGCTCACAATAATAGATAGTCTGATGAATATCTAGGCCAGACATGCATGGCCCAAGAGAGCTAATCTGGATCCAAATCCATATTATTCAGTGCAGCATGTGTGCACTTATCTACATCAGCTATCCGGCTATCAGAAGTTTGTATTTGAAATATTCATATAAAATTTTTTTTGCTTTTAATGAGAATTACATATACAGAAACACTAAGTTACTATTTTATATGCATACATAATTTATTGACTTTGTGTTAAAATGATTTTGTACTATACTTTCAATTTTAATTTTTCAGGGCAGCTAATGTCTTGCATTCAGTATGTGGCATAAAGAAAGGAGATAATGTTATGATTCTATTGCCAAAAATTCCAGAATTATGGGTTATAATCCTCTCTCTTTGTCAAATTGGTAAGTTTATACTTTAATGTACAGATACAGTAGATGAAATTTGACATGTCGATTCCAAAATTTTTAATATAATTTATTTAAGATGGCATACGCAAACAAATTGGAGTATAGATTAATAAAATTATTCTAATTATAGCTATACTATAAAACAAGAGATGCCTAATAAATAATGCAACACATGTTTTTCTTTCATTCAAAGTTTATCTTACAGTTTTAAATATATGATAGTGTCCCCAATTCTTTGGATACAATAATCTATTTTTCCACATTATTATTCTTTCAAATCTGTCCCCTTACACTACTGACTGCTGGGATGTGAGAGCCTTTCAGAATATTCTAAATTATTTAATTAAATTCAAAATTAATATCTAATTATTAATCTTAACAACGATGATTCCTTTAGATCAATTATTTAACTGAGTTAATTTTATTTCACTTTCAATTATCTAGTAAAGTTTTTGAAATTGTATTTTTTTTAAATTATTATGTTAGTCACTTATTTAAAAAAATTATTAAATAATTTTACTCCTGTTTTTGTAACCTTCTAGTTAATTTTTCATATATAGAATTACATAATAACTATTTTTATATAAATAATTTTTAATATTAAAATTTTTTAAATGAGATATAAAAAAATTATCTCAAGCATTAAACTCAAAAAAATATAAATATTTAATATACGTGCATAGGTGCAGTAGCAGCTGTAGGGTCATTTCAATTACAACCGAGGGATATTCACTACAGGATAAATTCTTTTAAAGCAAAATATGTCATTGCTGACGAGGAAACAGCTGAAAAAGTTGATCAGGTAATATTTTAAAAATAACAATGAAACAAATTAATTTTCCTATAGATAAATTAATTTTGTCCATTGTAATTTATAAGTTAGAACCATAGTTAGATAAGCCATAAAAAATGTAGCATAGTAAAATTTCAAGAATTTATAGAATCAAAGTAACATAGTACATTATATTTATTTAATCAAATATCCAAAATTAAGCATATATATATATATATTTTTTTCTCCTTTACTTTTTATTAGTTAGTTGAGAATAAATTATAAAATTAGGTAATTATATGTAAATTAAATAGAATACTCTTGAAATTTAAATAATTTTATAAATTTTTAATATAAAATTCAGAAACTAAATAAAGAAACACATAAACAATAAAAAAAATTAAAAAGCTGTTTTGCTATAAAGGATAATTTAAATGGACCACTGAGTATTTTTTTTTTTCCAAAAAAATCTACTTAGTGGTGTCGACTTACGAGTGCTTTAGATTTTTAACACCCACAAATGTGCTGTTTGCTATAATTTATTGTTACAATAAGTCTGGATGTAGTAGAACAGACTATTATATCGGTCATTACATATGATTCCAATAGCAAATTTCCCAAAATTGCAAAGACTTAATGTGCTTAAAACTAAAATTGAAGATATTCTATTGAAAAAGGTATCACCATGTATTCACTTTCACTATTCTGGAATACAATTTTTGACAACCAACATTTCTTTGTAAGCTATTTGGCCATCGAATTTTTTAATTGGATAGTTTTTTTCATTATTTTAAAGGAATTTTTAAAATTTTGACGGTTAAGTCAAATGACAAAGAAAGGTTGGTTGTCAAAAACTGTATTCTGGAACAATGAAAGTGAATAAATTTTGATTCCATTTCAACAGACTGCCTTCCATTTTTAGTTGTAAACTTAATTACCATTCGGTAATATTCTAAATTGAACTTTAGTATGCTGTTCAAGTTATACATTTATTGTTTCTCTTGACAATTTGTATACATGAAGTGTGATTAGAATTAGTGATTTTAGTAACTTTCAAAGCTTTAAAGGATGAACTATCTTCAAACTATTGTTATTTTACTTCAAAATACTTCTGAAACTGATTATTGGGCATCATCAGAATTTTTAAACATGTAATACTGTATAAAAGGTTGTTTGAAAATATCTGATTTAATGATATGTTTAAGGTTTATTATTAATATGTAGTCTACTATCAAATGTGAGTTGAGCATACAAACTAAGCATTCATGTTAGGAGCGACCCACTTTCCAGTATGATGGCAGCCAGCATGTGCACTCGGACCAAGTCTTCGACTGATTAATACCATCAATGGGTTGCCAAATATCTTCGGATATCCTGGCTTGTACAGCATTCAAATTCTACATGTTATACCATATGCAATATATATTACTAACTACTGAAAAATATATTCCTTGAAGAAGAAAGCAAATACAATAGTAGTTTCACTAATCCAGCTCTCAGAACCTCTGAAAAGTAACCCATAATTAAAATTTATTTGGATACTTGGTATGCTAAAGATCCCAGAAAATAACATATTCTCTGAAAAACTGCAAAAATACTAATCTTAACACAGTATAATTGTGCACATTAGAAAGCATGTGTGCTGGTAATCAAATCAAGATACAGAAGTCTGTGTTGATAGAAAATGTACAGCGACGTCTGCAATGTTCAGATTGCATATAACTTACTGGGAATTTTTCCATTTTCATAAAATTCAATAATTTATCATTTTCAATAATCTAGTCCCATAGGTGTCAGATTAATGAACTTCTACTAAATTATATACAGTATTTTTAGTTTCTTGCATTGGATATAAGAAAGAGAAACTGTAATGTGTTATAATTTTCTATCTTTTAAATCAAAATCTGAATCTAATATGTATTTTCTAAAAGTTCTTAATATGTACTTGGCTATAGAATAATTTATAAATGGCTAAAATTGGCTAAATTTAGATATATCTATTTGAAATCAGTCATTTCTTTAAAAATGATATATAACTAAAGAATTTTTAATTATTATTTATTACTGTAAAACTGGATTAATGTTATATAATTATAATATAATCATTAAAATCTTTTTGGGCTGAAATTTGAAAAAATTGTAGACCTATAAATTCCCACTGTCACACAACTGTCTTTCCTTAATCTCAAGAATGGAATTAGATAGATGAAATTCAAGACCAAATATGGAGAGCTTAGGGGCAGGAAGCCCCAATTAATTGTATATGAACTTCCAATGCAAATCAGAAGTCATGTTATTTCAATTAAAAAATTTTCTCTCAGAGTTATATAGATGATGGCATGACTCTGTTCCTAACAGGAAAAGTATGATGTACAGGGGTGTGGCCGATTAATAAGTAACAGATTCCAGAGAAATGCTTGGCTTTGATAAATAAATTTAATCTTCGCAAAAATAACTAAAGTTCCGAAAAAGCAATCATTCGAACAATGAATTTACAAGATTAATTGGGACCAATCGTAACAAATACAACGGATGGATCCCAAGTATCGGCAAAATAAAGAATCTATTCTATCTTCGGTCTAACTTAACTAATTTTTACAAATAACTGGGCCCAAAGGTAAAGGAGAAGATATTAAGAATCATAGAATTATAAAAGTATTTATGGAAGGAGAAGGTTCAAAGGGGTGACTGGTAATGAAATAAATAAAAAACCTCAGATTGTTCCATCGTATGGGTCTTCCTTCCGTACTCATCGACAAGTGCGTCTCCTAGCTCTCTCCCAAAGAAAAAAAAAAAGTCTTCTTTTCTGTTCGAATCTCCCTCCATCCTCTGCCAGTAACCCCTTGACCAATCAGGTGTCACCCCTTTGTTTTTCACAGACCAGACCACATGGGTCAACCAATCACAGTGTGGTCATCACAGGAACAAAAGCCAGAAGTAAAGTCTCACAGAAGAAAGATGGTATAAGGAGAAAAGAAAAAAAAAAAAACAATAAGGCTTAATCAAGCCACAGGGACAACAACACACTAATCTGAGGTTGAGAGCATATATTTTAAATTAAATAAATTAAGAAAATATGATTAAAACTTGCAGCCTGACATTGTGACAATGTCACAATAAATAATTGCATGTTTTATATAAATCATTTTAATATTATTTACTTGGAAATTACAGAGATTGGATGAAAGTAACAAGCCATTCAGATGCCTTATAAAGTGATTAAGCTGAATAAGTAAAGAATGGGATATGTATTGTGAAGCCACCTTTTATTATTACACTACATGTAATTATTTAGGACTTTGTATAAATGTTTTATAGTACATTTTAAAATACTATGACACAGTTTCTCGAGTTTATTTTTATCTATTTGTACATTTAAGGTTTCAGATTTCACGAAAAATTTTTATTATTAAATAATATGCAATTAGTTTTATCTGAATTCGTATCTTATGTACTAGTTAAAACTCCAGGACGGCAATAATTAAAATTTACAAGTTCAAAAGAAACACTAAATTAGGGTTAAAGTGCCTTTACACTTCGTCCGGTTATTATCGTCCTGGGGTTTTAATTAATATAAATTTTATAGTTGTGCCGTCACGGGAAGGATTTCTGACATTTCATTTACATATTATGGGGAACGAAAGCCTCAAATTGTAGTCAACTCCATCAGAGTCCTCCTCACGCCACATTATCCAATCACAAAGTGTGAAAGGGGAAAAATTGTGAAGACACTTTTACTCTAATTCACTGAAAACTTATAAATCCAATTTATTATTCTTAATTTAGTCTATTAATTTATTCAAAACAATATTTAACAAATCCGAGATTTCGCGTTATTTAATGAATCTTTAATTAAAACGAAAGTTAAAACAGTTTTATAAGATTGAATTTCGGTATTAAGGACTAAAACTTGTATTATTTTTAGATTGTTAGAGCCTATTCAAAGGTCTAAAATGCATAAAGAGAGAGAGAGAATGTGTAGAAGTCTCAATAGAAGGAGGAGAAGAGAGAAGAGAAATGTAGGACCCAGTAGGATACTGAGCAGATAAGGTGAATCAAGAAGTATGAAAATAAATACTAAATTGGTTGAGAAATGTTCACACAGTATTTTTGAGGATGCATTTTTTAAGTATTTTAATCTCGGATTCATTGTGTACATAAATTGGCCCTTTTACCATTAACTTAATTAAATTATCATATTTAAATAGTTACTAATTTACATGGACAATTAGATTTTGATATAGCTTTAAAGTAATCTGTGTTATATGTCTGCATGTAAAATCATGATATTGAACTTTCATAAAAGTTGAAATATTACTTTATGATCATGCTTATAAGCTATAGAATAAGTAAAACTTGACAGGAAAATAATGTATCTTTTTTTATTTATTTTTTAATCTAGGTGGTATAAGAAAACAGTTTAAAAGAAATTAGTTCTGTTACAACTTTAATAAGTAAGCCTATGAAGTATTATTTTGTCAACTTGTTATGAATCTGTTCTGGTGGAATAAATTTAAATTCCAACTGATTAAACAATACCTCTGGGGACTATTATAAAATTAATGACCTAATCAAGTTGTATTAACTACATATAATCGGCTATTTGAACTGGATTATTATTATAAAATCCCTGTATATTTATTACTCTAGCCCTATCTTGATGAGCTATATTATGATCTATTTTTAACATTTCTCGTTGATTTTAATGAATAATGAAAAATTAAAATGTAAATTCCCACATTAGAGTTAACTTATATCGTATTTATTTAATTATTATGTTAATCGTTATACATCTTTATTCCTAGTTGAAGTAAAAGCTTTTGCTGCTTATTAAAATAAATGCTTTTGCTTTTTATTAAAATAAATGCTTTTGTTTTCTTTAAACACCTGAACATTTTAGGAAATTTGCATAAAATTTCAATTCTTTCAATCTAAATCTAATAACTTCAATGAAAAAATCAAATCAATCAGAATCATTCAATCATCAGAATATTATCAATCAATCAATCAAATCAATTTTTAAATTTGATTTTTATGTACTAATCTTTTGTGTGATTATATTAAAACAATTTCCAAATTTCCAATAAAGATATCTCCTGTACAAAAATTATTATTTGAAACAATATTCTACTTATTTTACATAGCATTAATGTTGTAGAGCAGGGGTGTCCAACCTTTTTGTATCTCTGAGCCACATTGGAAGATGTCATGGATTTTTGGGCACAAGTATATTATGTATAGTTGTGGTCCAATCCTTAAATATACAAATATATTTAAGGATTAACATGTGATAAACAGATTATAGTGCGCACCGAAATTTTCGCAAAACGCTGAAAAATGCAAATTTTTGTAGGACATAGTGGAGAATTTCATAATTCGGACTGTCAGTTTTGAAACAGAATTGCTTATGGAAGAAATACATTTGATGGTTTAATAATCACGAGAGAGAAAAACTTTCAATTTTTACTTAGAAATAGATAGATTCATTTATTATAAAGGAGACAAACAAAAATTTATTTGAAAAATACAAATATTTGTTTAATTTGGGTCACGAGAGAGAAAAACTTTCAATTTTTACTTAGAAATAGATAAATTCATTTATTATAAAAGAGACAAACGAAAATTTATTTGAAAAATACAAATATTTGTTTAATTTGGGTCTTTAATTAATAAAAAGCGACGAAACACCATTTTAAAGTGCATTTTTATTCGACTAATATATTTACAAATAATATGTAGCCCAAAAAGTAGCCAAAGCGCCAAATTATATTTTTTACGTCAAACAAAAAAAGTAGCCACATTTGGCGCAATGTAGCCAAATCTTGCAACGCTGGAAGGATTATAGACCCAAATGCGGGGAAAGGAGAGAAAGGACAAAAAGTAAAGAAGTGACAAAGGTTGAAAAATTAAGGGTCAATATTTGCATAACAGAAGATCTATTTAACCTTTCTCACTACTTTTTATCTTTTGTCCTTTATCTCTTTTCCTTCCTTTCCCCAAATTTGGGTCTATAATCCTTTGTGTCACAACTCCAGCTTTATTTAATAATCTTTCTTCATTCACACATCTCCAAGTATTTGAAAATATTTCCTTTCCACTCAAAAATAAAATATAAATAAAGATTTATGGCTTTGTGAAACTTATTTTTTGAGTTTATGCCNCTAAGAATTTCTAGTTTTGAGATTAGTAATGGTTTATTACAATTTCAATGGAAAAAATGAAAACACAAGAAGCATTTGCCAATATTCAACAAAAATAAAAAAAATACAATAAGTATTGAGTTATTAAAGAAAATAGATATAAAACTAGTAGTGTGTTTTAAGGCCTTAAAAAAGTAAATAATAATTCAATATAAATGTTATAAAATATTTATTAACTTTTCCTGTCACTAATTAAATATGTATTTCTTAAATATCTATGTATTTTACATTACTAGAAGAGAGTATCTCATCCTTGGGAATGTATGCATCACAAGTAAAAAATTATATCACATTAGGGCATAGTTTGTGCAATTTCGCTTCTTCCAACTTGGAAATTTTCAGGATTCATCCCAGATATGTATGAATTACTTAAGTGGTTTATTTATTCAGTGTAGAATAAATCCAGTAACTGAGCTGTCTAACGTCATTACTTCCTCATAAACTAATAGACTGGGATATTCCTGTTTTTTTAATAAATAGTGCTAATGTGTATTTCATTAGAATTGATTTATATTCATATGAAATAATAAATTCCAGGATTGCTTTTCCTAGTTACATCTATGCAAATTTAGGATTGATCTATGATTAAGAACTTAGTTATTTCATTTTCAACATTAAAATTATTATATGACAGTTCTAAGAAATTGTAAACCATTTAGAGAAATTGATTATTACTGAAAATTCAAAACTTTGTCTAAAATATTTATTAATTGGGCTGCAATTTTTAAATTGCAGATCCTATAAATTTCCACTGGTGTGCCTGTCTGTCCTTCTTTAATGTCAAAAACAGAGTTAGATAGATAAAAGTTGAGACCAGATATGGAAAGCTTAGGGACAGGAAGCCCCAATTAACTATACAAACTTCCAGTCTGAATCTGAAGTTATGTTTTTTCAGTTCAAAAATTTTCTCCAGAATGGAATTAGATAGATGACTGGCATGACTCGATTCTTATCAGGAAAAGTATGATGTACAGAGGCAAGACACTATTAAAATAAAGAGCATATGTTTTGAATAAAATAAATTAAAATTTGCAGCCTGGTATTATGACAATGTCACAATAATTTTGTCAATTTCCTCCCTTATTAGAATAAAAACTTTATGGTAAAAACAATCTACTAAAAAATTTGAATATAAAATCATATTAGAAAGTATGTTTTCAGTTAGTTTATGCTTATAATCATTTCATTGTTAAATTATGTTTCAAAAATGTTATTTTTGACTCTATTTATTAGCTTTTAAGCTTGGTGAAATGAATTAGTTTATTAATGCAGTAATTATAAAATTATACAAATTAATAATTTTAAGAATAAGCTTTTACCCCTGTTAATTTTTCTAAAGATTCAAAAATGAAGTGCAAAGTATTTATTTCATGATATCTTAAGTTTTAACACACATATTGGAATTTTTTTTAATAGTCATTGATTTGTGGAATGTATCGTTGTATAAAAAGAAAGCCTGGATCAATAGGAAAACCTCTTCCCGGTGTACAGCTCGCTGTAAGTATTACATAAGAAGTTTTTTTAAAATAATACTTTTTCATGAATAAAAATGTTTGTAATTTTATATTTCTTGAATTTATTTTATCGTTACTATTAAAAATATATCTGTATTTCAAATCCATAAGTAATCAGAGACAGAAGTTAAGTGATAAGTATTTATTTTATCATATTTTTGTGTAGATTATCTGTCGGTTGCATATGTTTAAAAGATAATTTGAAAGGGATGTAGTTTATGCAATGGAAAGGTTATATACTATTTTTAAATTGAACCTATGGATCAACTATTACTCCCATAGACAGGTGTTATATAGTGAAGTATGCAAAGGTTTTATTTTCATTCTAACAGTTTTATGCAGAATATCTGCCATTGTGGGTTATGCACACCCACCCCCACACAAAATTCCGTATTTTTTTTTATCGCTATGTACCAATATTCATGTACTTAAACTTCTGATTCTGACCATTGATTAGAAATTGTGTATATAGATGTAAATTTGACTAAAAATGATTTTGTTGTAACACTATACTAGATACTTGATCCTTACTACAATGAATTGGGACCTGGTAAAGAAGGAATACTATCTGTCAAACTGAAGCCTCATGCACCACTTTCATTATTCAAGGAGTATTTAGTAAGCTAATTTGTGAAGATTAATTCTAGTAACTAGTTTATCATCAGAAAAATTGACAAAATCTTTTTCATAACAGAATAATCAAAAAGAAACTGATGCGGCATTTCGTGGTGATTACTATCTTACGGGTGATAGAGCTTATAAAGATGAGGAAGAGTATTATTGGTTTGTTGGACGAAATGATGATATCATTTTATCTTCTGGGTATAGACTTAATTATTTAAAAAACTTAATACTAAATTTTAAATATGTCATATAATATAATATCAAATTTTCTTTTCAGTTATGCAATTGGACCATGTGAAGTGGAAAGTGCATTACAGGAACATCCAGCAGTATTGGAATCTGCTGTTGTTAGTAGTCCTGACCCACAAGGAATAGAAGTTTGTTTTATTTTTTTTCTTGTTTTTATTAAAATATTTCTAGTTTATTTAATAAATTTATTTTCTCTTTGTTTTCTTTAGACTGTAAAAGCTTTTGTTGTTTTGAATAAAGAATATTTGCATTTGGATAAAAATCAAATGACAACAGATCTTCAAGATCATGTTAAAAATATAGCATCTCCTTATAAATACCCAAGAAAGGTTTTAATAAAATTTAATAATAAGTCTTATTAAAAATTATTATTATCAATAAAATTTTTAAGATATCTATAAAATTTTTCTCAGTTAAATGTTCTAAGCAGTCAATTGGGTCCTGACTATTGAGAGATCATTAAACTTAGTTTAATATTTTATTATTATTAATAAGTAGTTGTAATAGTAAATTAGTATGTAAAACTTAATTATTTAGCTATTTTTATATTTCAGTAGCACTGAAATAGTTTACAAAATGTTTTGATTTCATAAATATGATAACTATTAAAAAATGAAATGTTCATTTTCAATAACATTGGAAAATGCTCTTAGAATTATGAAAGTACAATAGAGCATAGATTATCTGAAACCATTCGGGACTGGGGTTGTTTGGATAACTGATCATTTACAAAAAAATATATTAAACACAAAACTGTACTGTATATAATTTGTATTGCACGTCTTACAAATACATACCTTACATAATGTAATACATTAAACTAGGCCTACAGTTCAGTTTGGCAGGGAGGGGAAGAGTGCCGCAACTCCACAGCCCTAGTGGAAATTTGAATTTGCCAACTGGAATGCTTTCGGTTAACCGATGCTCTACTGTAATTACATTCATACACTATGGACCCCTTAGACTTCTAAATTTGTCATTGTTGATCAGTCTTTTCAAATTGATTATCATGCAGATTGATAGCTTTATAATATTACTAAATTTATAAATATTATATGTTTTTCAAAATTTATATTAATTCATTCAATAGCTTATTAATCAAAAATTAAATTAAAATTTTTAGATTGAATTTGTAGATAAACTACCTAAAACAGTTACTGGAAAAGTTCAAAGAAAAGCTCTGCGCAAAAGAGAATGGTAATATATATAAAATTTTCTATTTATATATTGACAGCATATTTGAAATTATTGCATATAATATAAAATTTATTCATTGTAGATTATAGTAGAAGTATTTTTAAGACAAATACAAATGTAATAATTTAGTACAACTGCATTTGATTATTATTCAAACAGGTCTGAAGTGAAAAAGGAACAAAACATTTCTGTTGCATCTTAAATATCATCAGGTATGATTTTATAATATAAAGTTGAATTTTCATTATTGTAAATTTAAGAGAGATGCAACAAAACATTACATTCATTACAACAATGACAACCATCTTAGTAATTTCTGTATAATTCAAAATATATAAGTTTGCTCATTTATTCATTCTTGCTTATGCAGTTAGGGGACATTTTTAATTAAAAAAAAATAACATTTATATTTAAAACATTTGAAATTAGTGCTCTGAATATGAGTATTACTTTCAATGCACAGCTTTTGGAGCTGAATATTTTTGAACCAAAATAATGACTTATTATAAAAATGTTAAATACTATGATTCCTCAATCTAGAAATGGAGGATTCTTAAAGTAATCAGTTTGTATATATTTTTAAAACAGCATGGCTCAGTAAGGTTTCAGCCTACTGTTATAAGTATTTGGGTTTGAATCCAATCCAGACTCATTTCTAGAAAGAAATTATATAATTCTGTTTGATAAAATTGATGACTCTCGAAAATGTCAATGGAATACAGTCCACAAAAAAAGAGAGAGAGGAAGACCCAGGAAAACTTGGTACAACGGAGTAAAGTTAGCATGTAGTGAAAACGGGATTAATTAAAGAGGAATGGTGTATGAATGGAGAGAGATGGAGAGAGGTCCTGGAGATTGGAAGGTCACGTCAGATGCCATGAACCGAAAGTTATATGTTTGATAAAATGATTATATTAATATTCTCTATTAAGGATGATGATATATTTTGATTTTTTGGACTAATATGAAAATTCAGTAATAAATTATTTCCTATGCAAATAAATTTATATTTAAATTAACTTGATTATTAATACTACTAAATTATTATATAAACAAGCTTTCTCGTGAATTTTTAAAATTCAGTTAAATGCTAGAATGATTAATATTCTAATTCCTATACATAGAGATGGAATAAAGCTAAATCTAAATTTTTATTAAATTATCTTTAAATCTGCAATAAAATTTAAAATTTTTTAAATGTAAGGCTATATACTAATATGTAAAAACTATATGTGATGTGCATTTCTTATACATACATCTGATCATATTTTTACAATAATGGAAACTGAAATTATGAAATAACTTATGTTTCTAAAGACAAAGCTGATGCATATTTCCTCCATTACAGATCATAAAAGTTCCATCATGCATGTATTTTACATCATTAAAATTTTGAATGAAAAACATCTTTAAATGCAAGATCATTGTAATTCAAGATTTGTACACAGAATATTTTGTATAAATATGATTTCAAATAAACTTGAGAAATTATTTTTTAAAAATACCGATCATCAATTCTGTTTTTACATTTTTATCATCATCAGCATGTCTAGCATCTGCTTCTGAGAGATGACACAATTCATTCTGAATTTTCTTATTGGATACACAGTCATCGAGTTTTTTAATATATGTGGCTCTCTCACTACAACGAATAGGAAACAAAGGCCTTCTTAATTCCCACAGGATGGAAAAAGAGGAAAATATTTATTATACTTAAAAATAGTAACATTAAATAGCTATAAGTTTATTTCCAAATTTAAAGATGACTTGAAATTTTAAATAAATTTTAGTAGTTTAAAGGTTTATTTATTTTCAATTGTGATTTTAAGAAATTATTAAATTAAAAAAATTAGTTATTAGTTATGAAATAAATTTTAGAGAATTAAATATTTTTCAGATTGTTATAATCATATAAAAATCATTTTACATTACTTGTTGATAGAAGTCTTAAACTGTAAGTTTATGCAAATTAATAATGTTACTGTGATATTATTTATAACAAATTCTGCATATAGCAACCTTTACTAAACCATGAAATATTTTAATAATGAAACTACAACTCTAGAGAAATAATTGCATCTTTTTTAATATCAAAATTTTATTTTTAATTAACTTTATTTACAACAAATAAAATCAAAAAGACTTTATTTGCCATAAATATATCTAATTGATTTAATATATATAATTCACAAATTCTATTTACATTTTTTTTCAACATTCTGTACATTAAAATATCTGTTTATAAAACAATCCTTCAGGGAATTTGAAAATAACCCATTTTAACAAATTTTAATATTTTTAAACACTCAAGATATATTATTTTAATAAAATAATGTATGCTTTTCTTTCATCTTCATTGTAAATGTCAGCTGCCAACATTATTTCAATCATCAATAGAAGAATCAAAGTATTGACTAATAAAAATTTAAATTTCCCATAATAAATAACATTCCCTAAAGAATAATTATAAAAATGACCAATTACATTAAATTTGGAATTGAATGATAAATATTTAGCCAAAAGTTATTGATCTGTATTTATTAAATTTATTCATTTTGTTTAGGTTATAAATAGGCAAAGAAACTCTTAAACATATATCTTATCAAAAATTTGTGATTATAATAATTTGCTTTTATCATCAATTAATTTCTTTTTGATTAATAATTTTCACATAATTTTGAATGTAATTAAAGTGTTTATACTATAAATAGTACAAATACTTTAATTACATGAAAAGTATTCTTGTAAAAATAAATAAATATAGCATTAACAATTAATTGAAAAGTGCACCATTCCATTTTTCTATCACAGAAAATTTTCTTCCAAATGATTTCTAATATACTTAATTTTTAAGTTAATATCCTATGATTGATTTTTCTCTTCATTTTTCTGAAACAAATAAGAATATTATAAAAAAATTTTTACATTGAAAATTATGTTATGAATGTTATACTTACATTCTCTAATGTTGTATCATCAGAACTATTCTCTTGCTGTAAAATATGAAAAACTGGTTCATCTCTGTCAGTTTGTAAACATTTATAATTTTCAATCAGACTTTGGTGATCTGAATCACTGCNTAAAAAAAAAAAATAACATGACACACATTTCATTTCCAGACAGATGAAAAGAATAAGGTTTGTAGAATATAATTCTTAAATTTTTTAATCCTACTTGCATTTACAGATGTAAAATGCTTGATCTAACATTAAGTGTGCACTTCTATCTACTCTGTATGTTTGCTGCTCAATTTTTTATGATGGAAACCTATCTACCACAGCTTCTGGAACAAACTATATTACAAAAATAATGCACAGAATTACTTGATATAGATAATAATCATGAAAATCTTTCAAAATAGACTCCACCAATTTCTGTGTATGATATCAAAGGTCATAATTGACTTATCAAAGTCTTCAGAGAAAATGTAAGCATTAAATTTATCTTATTGCTTTTTTAATGTACAACGATTGATTGATAAATAAGGTCTATAGCAATATTCTGAAAAATGCAGGAATAAAAACATACTTATGGCTACTAAATGAGAATGGTTGTGTCTAGTCAAAAATTCAATCACTGATTGATAGTGTTGAAACATATGCCAAAAGAAGACCAATTTGGTGAAGTATTGCAAAATCTTACAAGCATTTAACATACTTTTTCAGAGTATGGCCCAGGAAAGTCTTTCTAGCATCATGAAAACATGAGAGCATGCTGCATTAAGGAAACAAAGATAATTTCCATTGCCATATCTGAACAATAATAAAGTAAAGCTCTGGTAATGTCAGACTTCTGGTTATTGCCAAAATTAAAGGTATCGAAAAGTCAATTTTTTTTTATTGGATGCCAAATTCAATCTGCTGCATGGGAATGGATCAAGGAAAAATTAAGATTTTCATGCATGAAAATGGCTAGATGACATTTTTCCAAACATTTAGTTATCATTTGACAGTTTGTTTTAAGGCATTGTGAAAAAAGAGAACCTGTTGTAAGGAAAACATCTTACAAGCAACTAAGATTTTTAATGTTTTTCAGCCATCAATTTGGATGATTATATTCAGAACGTGAGAAAAAATAATTTCGATAAGATCATGCAGAATCTCAAAAAGAGAAAGAATAACTAACGAGAGGATCAAAGACCTAATGGAATTGAAGGAGACGGTTTTTTAAGAAATAGAGGAAATAACTTATTTGGTTTGGACATGCAAAAAAGAATGAGTGATGAGAAACTCCCAAAAATGTCAATGGAAAACATTCCACAAACAAGGGAAAAGAGAGGAAGACCCAGGCAAACTTGGTACAACGGAGTAAAGTTAGCATGTAGTGAAAACGGGATTAATTAAAGAGGAATGGTGTATGAATGGAGAGAGATGGAGAGAGGTCCTGGAGATTGGAAGGTGACGTCAGATGCCATGAACCGAAAGTTATATGTTTGATAAAATGATTATATTAATATTCTCTATTAAGGATGATGATATATTTTGATTTTTTGGACTAATATGAAAATTCAGTAATAAATTATTTCCTATGCAAATAAATTTATATTTAAATTAACTTGATTATTAATACTACTAAATTATTATATAAACAAGCTTTCTCGTGAATTTTTAAAATTCAGTTAAATGCTAGAATGATTAATATTCTAATTCCTATACATAGAGATGGAATAAAGCTAAATCTAAATTTTTATTAAATTATCTTTAAATCTGCAATAAAATTTAAAATTTTTTAAATGTAAGGCTATATACTAATATGTAAAAACTATATGTGATGTGCATTTCTTATACATACATCTGATCATATTTTTACAATAATGGAAACTGAAATTATGAAATAACTTATGTTTCTAAAGACAAAGCTGATGCATATTTCCTCCATTACAGATCATAAAAGTTCCATCATGCATGTATTTTACATCATTAAAATTTTGAATGAAAAACATCTTTAAATGCAAGATCATTGTAATTCAAGATTTGTACACAGAATATTTTGTATAAATATGATTTCAAATAAACTTGAGAAATTATTTTTTAAAAATACCGATCATCAATTCTGTTTTTACATTTTTATCATCATCAGCATGTCTAGCATCTGCTTCTGAGAGATGACACAATTCATTCTGAATTTTCTTATTGGATACACAGTCATCGAGTTTTTTAATATATGTGGCTCTCTCACTACAACGAATAGGAAACAAAGGCCTTCTTAATTCCCACAGGATGGAAAAAGAGGAAAATATTTATTATACTTAAAAATAGTAACATTAAATAGCTATAAGTTTATTTCCAAATTTAAAGATGACTTGAAATTTTAAATAAATTTTAGTAGTTTAAAGGTTTATTTATTTTCAATTGTGATTTTAAGAAATTATTAAATTAAAAAAATTAGTTATTAGTTATGAAATAAATTTTAGAGAATTAAATATTTTTCAGATTGTTATAATCATATAAAAATCATTTTACATTACTTGTTGATAGAAGTCTTAAACTGTAAGTTTATGCAAATTAATAATGTTACTGTGATATTATTTATAACAAATTCTGCATATAGCAACCTTTACTAAACCATGAAATATTTTAATAATGAAACTACAACTCTAGAGAAATAATTGCATCTTTTTTAATATCAANATTCTGAACTGCTTATTTTTAATTTACTACAAATAAAATTAATAACAATAATAACTATTATTATTAATGAAAGTAGCATTTATAAATACCAGTATATTTTATATGATATATTTTTTAAATTTTAGATTAGTGATTCTTGTCCATCTTTAAGGAGAAAAATCATATGTTGTCAAGATCCTAAGTGAGTATTTTTGAAATTTACTAATAAAACTTAGTTCAATTTATTAGTGATTTTTAATTTAGATTTACAGAATGCAATGTCATTAAAAATATATAAAATAAAACAGTACATTAATATCAAAATATAAAATGCACTGTTTTAACTTAATAAATTATTAAACACATAATGTTAGATAACATAATGTTAAATAGAGTTGTATTAAACACTTCATAATGTATGCAAATCATTGAAAAAATTCAAAAAAATAATAATATACCTCTAAAGCATTATTATTAACATTTTACAATATTCATATTCAATAGACCTGGCCTGGCCAACTTACATTGGGATGTAATTGACTTTCATGAGTCAAAAGTACTGATAATCACAATCACATTTTTATTCTTTGATCATTTTTAATGATCTTTATCAGGTAATGTTCCAAAAATCAAACATTTATAAATACTAATGGATATATAGTATTTGTAAAGTGTTCAATTTTTGTATGTTTATCCTATTGTAATGTAATAAAAAACATACATTTTACACTAAACATCTGGAATGACTAAGTTCTTGGTCTTGTATTCTTCAACGACACTGTAACTAGCAATACTATCTTAATTTTCTACATGACAGTGAATGGATGACTTCATGATTTGTCATTGGAGCAACTATGACAACTTTGGTACTAGCATGACGGTGCATCAGTTCAATCCCAGTTCTACATTTGTTGGACTTAAACCTGCTGGATGTATTTTTATGGAGGTCACTAAAAGGTACAATTCATACCTAGCAATGATGCAGATATTGGCCAACTGAAGAAATGAATAAGAGAAGCTTTTAAGCTGGTAACACAGGTATACTACATGCCACCTATTATGCACTTTCAACAGTCTGTATCTTTTTATGTTGATGCTGAAGGCAGTCACTTTGAACACGTATTACAGCAACATAAAGCTAATCATTTTTGTATTAATTTATGTAATGTTAGTTTTTATCCTTTACAATCAGAGATTCTTTCCATTTTATACTAAATCTTAAAATTTCTCTCGTTAGTCTGTGCTTGGGAGAGATGGAAAATTTATTTATTGCCTTGGAATTACTACTTGATTTACATGTGTTTGTTCCTTTTTAATGAATTTATTTATTCTAAACTTTGTAGTGGAACTAATGGATTATGTGAATTAGTTCCATTAGTTCAATGCTGCTAGAAAGATCTTTTTTTTTGCATCTAGATAAATGTTAACGGATGTATCTTTTATATTTTTCTGTAGAAGTTGAAAATAAATTGTGTGTTTAATATGCTTCAAATTTGTTTTTATTAGAAAGTTCTAAAGTTTTACAAGTTTTTGATGTTAAAAAAATTGTCTTATATTAAGATTATTTAAATTAAAGAATTATTTTGCATTTTAAGCATATTCATCTATAATTTAAAATGTTTATATTTTTAATTTTATTGTTACTATTTTAGAAATAAAGGATGGATAGATTTTCTTACATTTTATAAAGAAGCTCAGCCTCTTAATTATGTGAGTAAAAAAATTTATATTTTCAATTAAAATTTAAATGTTTAAAACTAATATGTTTTCATTTTATATATTTATTCTTAAGACTGCAAAAACAAGGTACAATGATCCACTGATATTATTTTTTACAAGTGGAACTACGGGTAAACCAAAAATGGTTCAGCACAATCTTGAATGTATTAAATCATTTCATTCTATAGGAAAGTAAGTGATATTAGAAATTTTATTAACATCTCACAATAAACGATAATAATTAAAATAATTATTGCAGTTATTGGATGGATCTAACATCGAATGATTTAGTATTAAATATGTCAGATCCAGGATGGTCAAAAGGAATTTGGGGAGGACTTTTCGTGCCATGGACTATGGGAGCAGGAATTTTTGCTCATCATTCCAAGCTGTTTAATACAGAAACAACATTAAAGGTAAAATTTGTTTTTAATGATTTTTTTTTTAAATAAAATTGCAGAAAACCTTAAAATTTTATAGATTTTTAATATTTCTATGATATCATATTCTTTATGTATGAAAATATTATGATTGTTTATTTGGTAAAAAGTACATGTTCAGATATTCTGCAGTAAATATAGGGTGTCCAGGGTGTAAAAAGGTCAGTAAGAGTTGACTTGATCACTGAATTATTGTATGGGTTGATCTCTGTTTGTTTTAGTTATGGCAATACAACACTTAGGCAATCTGACTAGGGGGATGCCTTTTGGGAGGTCTTTTTGAGGGAAACTCGCCTCTATTTATACATTAGATGTGGAGAAAACCCAAAAAACTCCACATGGCAAGCCTGTCTGAGCAAGGCACAAACCTACAACCGAACTCCCAGTATTCAGGTAACGAAGACCTCTTGGCCACACTGGTGGGCCAATGGTTGATCTCAGAGTAGATCACTTCTGTGTGTTGTTCTGCTTTGCTGACTAACCAAGAGAGCCTCTCTAGAAGGTGTGCCATGTCCTCTTTTTTTCTGTTAACTTTGTTGAAATTGGTGGAAGATTTGGTGGAAGATATGGTGGATGGAAAACTGTTTCTGCAGCTATTGTTCCTGCATCCCTTTTTGTACACAATAGGCATGGTTCTCAGAAAATGATAACTGAGAATTAAGAGAAATAGCTTATGCTACAAATAAAATATATTTTCATATCTTCACTGTTAATTTCATCCAATAAAAATTATATTTTACATTATAAAATTGTGTGAAATATTAAAAATCACTTTGATGAACCAAATCAGAATATAATGAATTCATTTGAAATCTATTATCATTGAGATGCTTTTTAAGAAAAAATAGTTTTACTTACAAGTGATTTTCAGATTTTTATAATTTACACTACATTTAAATTTTTATATAAGATGGAACTCCATTATCAAGTTTGGACTATTATCTTGACCAACTCCTTATTTCCCCCCAAGAAATGACCAAGCTGTCACGCAGATTTGAGGTAATAGCTAGATGAATAGAACAAACTTGATGAGCCATAATGGAGCTCCTACCTTATAATGCAGAGAATTAAAAACTTCAAATATTGAATTGCAATTTTTATTAATATTAGACTCTACAAGATTATCCAATAACTACATTTTGTGCACCACCAACTATTTTTAGAAAACTTATCAAATCAGATCTACATAGGTATAAGTTTTCTCATTTAAGACACTGTTTGAGTGCTGGAGAACCTCTTGTAAGTATATAATTTTCTGTAAAATATAAAAAAAATAAGAATTTAAACTGAAATAATAAATTTTTTATTTATTTAAGCATGCAGCAGCAAATGAACAGTGGAGGAAAAATACAGGTATCTATATCCATGAAGGATTTGGTCAAGCAGAAACGGTATTTATCAAAAACGTTTCATTACATCAAATCTTTAGTTAAGAAAATGATTATAAGCATTATTAAAAAAAATTTATTCGAGAAATCTTAAATTTGTATCGGTTACCATATAAATATTAAATTCTTGTTTCGGTAAAATTTTTTCAATTTATGAATACAATTAAAATCTTTAAATTGGGGATGAAGTAGTAGATTACATATAGTTTCAATTGTTATTTATATCACTGATGGTATCTAGAACTTTGCTATAGGATAAATCCATTAAATATATCCAAGATACTTACAAAAATAGCAACATAAATCCTTGCAAAGTAAGAAAATGTTTAAATTTAGATAAATCACACTGTGAAAAATTTTAGTTTTTTTTTTTTTCTTTATGTGAGCATTAAGGCTTTTACTAAACTTTATATCAGGTCTGTAGCAAGATCTGACTGTGCTATAGAAAAAAACTCATGCTACCAAGAAAATGCAGTTAATAATAATTAATGGTAATAAACAAATTATATTACAAACATCAAAATTTAATAGTATGAATAACAACAATTGCTTTAAAAGTTTATCATTATCATTAAACAATTAATTAACAAAAATTTCTATAAGATTCAAATGCTAACTCAAGTCAATTGTCTAGCTGTGCTAGGAAACTCCTCTTTAATCTGCCATTGAGCTCTCACAAAGTTATATCTGTTTGATATATTGACATTACAACTGCTGCTCACCTCATTTACATATTCATTGTGCATCTACACTTTCCATTTCCCTGCTGGTAGTTAAGACTAGAATCAAGTTTATTTATTTACTGACAAGCTAGTTTTATAGTAATTTTGTACGGTGTTTCTCTAGGAAGACAACTCAAAAAGCATCTTATCATTAATCTTTGTTTAATCTGGTCAGGAGTATGAAGTACAGTAGACCCCCCCTATAATACTGTAGATAATTCCGTGTTATATGAATTCCATGTTGTATGAGTCACTTAGATTTTGCAAATACATGAGCCGTTCACAGCCCAGCACACGTATTTGTAAAATCTAAGTGACTCGTACAACATGGAATTCATATAACACAGAATTATCTACAGTGTTATAGGGGGTCTACTGTAGTCACCCTAAACAAAACAAAATCATCCAAAATAAATATACCTAAATAAAAGTAATTAATTGATCAAGAACACAATGAAGTCTGGTTCCTCTCACAATACAACCTATTCTGTATATTGCTTTATGAAAAGATTGTTTTTGTGCATAAGATATATGTTATTATTTGGGATTGCAATCCTGGAATCTCATCCAAAACATTCTAAAATTCCGAGATTTTGACATTATACCATATATACTCAATTAGACCCACAGATTTAAATTACCCCACAAGTTAAATAAAGCCACATCCTAATTTGAAAAAATTGTAAACCTAGACTGACGACAATGGGGATTTATGTCTGTCTTTCCTTAATCTTGAAGATATGGAAACCTTGAGCAGGAGGCCTCAGTTAACTGTATATGAACTTACAACGCAAACTGGAAGTCATGTTATTTCAATTCAAAAATTTCCCCCGAAAGGTGTTAGATAGATGACCAACACAACTCTATTGTTAAAGAAAAAGTATGATGTATTGTACAAGGGCAAGCCACTACTAATTTGAGGTGGAGGTTTGAGGTAATATATTTTAAATTAAATAAATTAAGAATATGATTAAAAATTGCAACCCGGCTTTGTCACGATGTCACAATAAATAATTGCTTGTTGCATTTAAAAAATAAATCCACTGTACTTGATTAAACCTGTATGTGGATTTATTTGAATCACCTTTTCTAAGTTATGGTACACAAAATTTAATCGTGTAAATTGTCATATTTCTTGTCTTTGTTATTTTTTAACTTAACAACCCCTGCACTTATGCCAACCTGTAAAAAATTTAATTTAAAAAAAATAGTCACAGTCTTGAATAAACCCACACTATAAATGGGTTTTAAAAAATAGACACACAGTTTATCTATTAAAGTGCCTACAGTAGATTGAAATAATGATATAAAATACACTGTTTCTGTTTGAGTTGAGCCATTCTAGGCTCAAGTTTAGTTAATTTTGTTCTAAATTTTGTGTAATTGAAGAATCTCTGGAGACAGAGCAAATGCCTTACATCCACCCTCAGACAATTCTTGGTCTCATGACAATTCACATGCTAAGAATTTCTAGTTTTGAGATTAGTAATGGTTTATTACAATTTCAATGGAAAAAATGAAAACACAAGAAGCATTTGCCAATATTCAACAAAAATAAAAAAAATACAATAAGTATTGAGTTATTAAAGAAAATAGATATAAAACTAGTAGTGTGTTTTAAGGCCTTAAAAAAGTAAATAATAATTCAATATAAATGTTATAAAATATTTATTAACTTTTCCTGTCACTAATTAAATATGTATTTCTTAAATATCTATGTATTTTACATTACTAGAAGAGAGTATCTCATCCTTGGGAATGTATGCATCACAAGTAAAAAATTATATCACATTAGGGCATAGTTTGTGCAATTTCGCTTCTTCCAACTTGGAAATTTTCAGGATTCATCCCAGATATGTATGAATTACTTAAGTGGTTTATTTATTCAGTGTAGAATAAATCCAGTAACTGAGCTGTCTAACGTCATTACTTCCTCATAAACTAATAGACTGGGATATTCCTGTTTTTTAATAAATAGTGCTAATGTGTATTTCATTAGAATTGATTTATATTCATATGAAATAATAAATTCCAGGATTGCTTTTCCTAGTTACATCTATGCAAATTTAGGATTGATCTATGATTAAGAACTTAGTTATTTCATTTTCAACATTAAAATTATTATATGACAGTTCTAAGAAATTGTAAACCATTTAGAGAAATTGATTATTACTGAAAATTCAAAACTTTGTCTAAAATATTTATTAATTGGGCTGCAATTTTTAAATTGCAGATCCTATAAATTTCCACTGGTGTGCCTGTCTGTCCTTCTTTAATGTCAAAAACAGAGTTAGATAGATAAAAGTTGAGACCAGATATGGAAAGCTTAGGGACAGGAAGCCCCAATTAACTATACAAACTTCCAGTCTGAATCTGAAGTTATGTTTTTTCAGTTCAAAAATTTTCTCCAGAATGGAATTAGATAGATGACTGGCATGACTCGATTCTTATCAGGAAAAGTATGATGTACAGAGGCAAGACACGATTAAAATAAAGAGCATATGTTTTGAATAAAATAAATTAAAATTTGCAGCCTGGTATTATGACAATGTCACAATAATTTTGTCAATTTCCTCCCTTATTAGAATAAAAACTTTATGGTAAAAACAATCTACTAAAAAATTTGAATATAAAATCATATTAGAAAGTATGTTTTCAGTTAGTTTATGCTTATAATCATTTCATTGTTAAATTATGTTTCAAAAATGTTATTTTTGACTCTATTTATTAGCTTTTAAGCTTGGAGAAATGAATTAGTTTATTAATGCCGTAATTATAAAATTATACAAATTAATAATTTTAAGAATAAGCTTTTACCCCTGTTAATTTTTCTAAAGATTCAAAAATGAAGTGCAAAGTATTTATTTCATGATATCTTAAGTTTTAACACACATATTGGAATTTTTTTTAATAGTCATTGATTTGTGGAATGTATCGTTGTATAAAAAGAAAGCCTGGATCAATAGGAAAACCTCTTCCCGGTGTACAGCTCGCTGTAAGTATTACATAAGAAGTTTTTTTAAAATAATACTTTTTCATGAATAAAAATGTTTGTAATTTTATATTTCTTGAATTTATTTTATCGTTACTATTAAAAATATATCTGTATTTCAAATCCATAAGTAATCAGAGACAGAAGTTAAGTGATAAGTATTTATTTTATCATATTTTTGTGTAGATTATCTGTCGGTTGCATATGTTTAAAAGATAATTTGAAAGGGATGTAGTTTATGCAATGGAAAGGTTATATACTATTTTTAAATTGAACCTATGGATCAACTATTACTCCCATAGACAGGTGTTATATAGTGAAGTATGCAAAGGTTTTATTTTCATTCTAACAGTTTTATGCAGAATATCTGCCATTGTGGGTTATGCACACCCACCCCCACACAAAATTCCGTATTTTTTTTTATCGCTATGTACCAATATTCATGTACTTAAACTTCTGATTCTGACCATTGATTAGAAATTGTGTATATAGATGTAAATTTGACTAAAAATGATTTTGTTGTAACACTATACTAGATACTTGATCCTTACTACAATGAATTGGGACCTGGTAAAGAAGGAATACTATCTGTCAAACTGAAGCCTCATGCACCACTTTCATTATTCAAGGAGTATTTAGTAAGCTAATTTGTGAAGATTAATTCTAGTAACTAGTTTATCATCAGAAAAATTGACAAAATCTTTTTCATAACAGAATAATCAAAAAGAAACTGATGCGGCATTTCGTGGTGATTACTATCTTACGGGTGATAGAGCTTATAAAGATGAGGAAGAGTATTATTGGTTTGTTGGACGAAATGATGATATCATTTTATCTTCTGGGTATAGACTTAATTATTTAAAAAACTTAATACTAAATTTTAAATATGTCATATAATATAATATCAAATTTTCTTTTCAGTTATGCAATTGGACCATGTGAAGTGGAAAGTGCATTACAGGAACATCCAGCAGTATTGGAATCTGCTGTTGTTAGTAGTCCTGACCCACAAGGAATAGAAGTTTGTTTTATTTTTTTTCTTGTTTTTATTAAAATATTTCTAGTTTATTTAATAAATTTATTTTCTCTTTGTTTTCTTTAGACTGTAAAAGCTTTTGTTGTTTTGAATAAAGAATATTTGCATTTGGATAAAAATCAAATGACAACAGATCTTCAAGATCATGTTAAAAATATAGCATCTCCTTATAAATACCCAAGAAAGGTTTTAATAAAATTTAATAATAAGTCTTATTAAAAATTATTATTATCAATAAAATTTTTAAGATATCTATAAAATTTTTCTCAGTTAAATGTTCTAAGCAGTCAATTGGGTCCTGACTATTGAGAGATCATTAAACTTAGTTTAATATTTTATTATTATTAATAAGTAGTTGTAATAGTAAATTAGTATGTAAAACTTAATTATTTAGCTATTTTTATATTTCAGTAGCACTGAAATAGTTTACAAAATGTTTTGATTTCATAAATATGATAACTATTAAAAAATGAAATGTTCATTTTCAATAACATTGGAAAATGCTCTTAGAATTATGAAAGTACAATAGAGCATAGATTATCTGAAACCATTCGGGACTGGGGTTGTTTGGATAACTGATCATTTACAAAAAAATATATTAAACACAAAACTGTACTGTATATAATTTGTATTGCACGTCTTACAAATACATACCTTACATAATGTAATACATTAAACTAGGCCTACAGTTCAGTTTGGCAGGGAGGGGAAGAGTGCCGCAACTCCACAGCCCTAGTGGAAATTTGAATTTGCCAACTGGAATGCTTTCGGTTAACCGATGCTCTACTGTAATTACATTCATACACTATGGACCCCTTAGACTTCTAAATTTGTCATTGTTGATCAGTCTTTTCAAATTGATTATCATGCAGATTGATAGCTTTATAATATTACTAAATTTATAAATATTATATGTTTTTCAAAATTTATATTAATTCATTCAATAGCTTATTAATCAAAAATTAAATTAAAATTTTTAGATTGAATTTGTAGATAAACTACCTAAAACAGTTACTGGAAAAGTTCAAAGAAAAGCTCTGCGCAAAAGAGAATGGTAATATATATAAAATTTTCTATTTATATATTGACAGCATATTTGAAATTATTGCATATAATATAAAATTTATTCATTGTAGATTATAGTAGAAGTATTTTTAAGACAAATACAAATGTAATAATTTAGTACAACTGCATTTGATTATTATTCAAACAGGTCTGAAGTGAAAAAGGAACAAAACATTTCTGTTGCATCTTAAATATCATCAGGTATGATTTTATAATATAAAGTTGAATTTTCATTATTGTAAATTTAAGAGAGATGCAACAAAACATTACATTCATTACAACAATGACAACCATCTTAGTAATTTCTGTATAATTCAAAATATATAAGTTTGCTCATTTATTCATTCTTGCTTATGCAGTTAGGGGACATTTTTAATTAAAAAAAAATAACATTTACATTTAAAACATTTGAAATTAGTGCTCTGAATATGAGTATTACTTTCAATGCACAGCTTTTGGAGCTGAATATTTTTGAACCAAAATAATGACTTATTATAAAAATGTTAAATACTATGATTCCTCAATCTAGAAATGGAGGATTCTTAAAGTAATCAGTTTGTATATATTTTTAAAACAGCATGGCTCAGTAAGGTTTCAGCCTACTGTTATAAGTATTTGGGTTTGAATCCAATCCAGACTCATTTCTAGAAAGAAATTATATAATTCTGTTTGATAAAATTGATGAGAGACTCCCGAAAATGTCAATGGAATACAGTCCACAAAAAAAGAGAGAGAGGAAGACCCAGGAAAACTTGGTACAACGGAGTAAAGTTAGCATGTAGTGAAAACGGGATTAATTAAAGAGGAATGGTGTATGAATGGAGAGAGATGGAGAGAGGTCCTGGAGATTGGAAGGTGACGTCAGATGCCATGAACCGAAAGTTATATGTTTGATAAAATGATTATATTAATATTCTCTATTAAGGATGATGATATATTTTGATTTTTTGGACTAATATGAAAATTCAGTAATAAATTATTTCCTATGCAAATAAATTTATATTTAAATTAACTTGATTATTAATACTACTAAATTATTATATAAACAAGCTTTCTCGTGAATTTTTAAAATTCAGTTAAATGCTAGAATGATTAATATTCTAATTCCTATACATAGAGATGGAATAAAGCTAAATCTAAATTTTTATTAAATTATCTTTAAATCTGCAATAAAATTTAAAATTTTTTAAATGTAAGGCTATATACTAATATGTAAAAACTATATGTGATGTGCATTTCTTATACATACATCTGATCATATTTTTACAATAATGGAAACTGAAATTATGAAATAACTTATGTTTCTAAAGACAAAGCTGATGCATATTTCCTCCATTACAGATCATAAAAGTTCCATCATGCATGTATTTTACATCATTAAAATTTTGAATGAAAAACATCTTTAAATGCAAGATCATTGTAATTCAAGATTTGTACACAGAATATTTTGTATAAATATGATTTCAAATAAACTTGAGAAATTATTTTTTAAAAATACCGATCATCAATTCTGTTTTTACATTTTTATCATCATCAGCATGTCTAGCATCTGCTTCTGAGAGATGACACAATTCATTCTGAATTTTCTTATTGGATACACAGTCATCGAGTTTTTTAATATATGTGGCTCTCTCACTACAACGAATAGGAAACAAAGGCCTTCTTAATTCCCACAGGATGGAAAAAGAGGAAAATATTTATTATACTTAAAAATAGTAACATTAAATAGCTATAAGTTTATTTCCAAATTTAAAGATGACTTGAAATTTTAAATAAATTTTAGTAGTTTAAAGGTTTATTTATTTTCAATTGTGATTTTAAGAAATTATTAAATTAAAAAAATTAGTTATTAGTTATGAAATAAATTTTAGAGAATTAAATATTTTTCAGATTGTTATAATCATATAAAAATCATTTTACATTACTTGTTGATAGAAGTCTTAAACTGTAAGTTTATGCAAATTAATAATGTTACTGTGATATTATTTATAACAAATTCTGCATATAGCAACCTTTACTAAACCATGAAATATTTTAATAATGAAACTACAACTCTAGAGAAATAATTGCATCTTTTTTAATATCAAAATTTTATTTTTAATTAACTTTATTTACAACAAATAAAATCAAAAAGACTTTATTTGCCATAAATATATCTAATTGATTTAATATATATAATTCACAAATTCTATTTACATTTTTTTTCAACATTCTGTACATTAAAATATCTGTTTATAAAACAATCCTTCAGGGAATTTGAAAATAACCCATTTTAACAAATTTTAATATTTTTAAACACTCAAGATATATTATTTTAATAATGTATGCTTTTCTTTCATCTTCATTGTAAATGCCAGCTGCCAACATTATTTCAATCATCAATAGAAGAATCAAAGTATTGACTAATAAAAATTTAAATTTCCCATAATAAATAACATTCCCTAAAGAATAATTATAAAAATGACCAATTACATTAAATTTGGAATTGAATGATAAATATTTAGCCAAAAGTTATTGATCTGTATTTATTAAATTTATTCATTTTGTTTAAGAGTTTCTTTGCCTATTTATAACCTAAACATATATCTTATCAAAAATTTGTGATTATAATAATTTGCTTTTATCATCAATTAATTTCTTTTTGATTAATAATTTTCACATAATTTTGAATGTAATTAAAGTGTTTATACTATAAATAGTACAAATACTTTAATTACATGAAAAGTATTCTTGTAAAAATAAATAAATATAGCATTAACAATTAATTGAAAAGTGCACCATTCCATTTTTCTATCACAGAAAATTTTCTTCCAAATGATTTCTAATATACTTAATTTTTAAGTTAATATCCTATGATTGATTTTTCTCTTCATTTTTCTGAAACAAATAAGAATATTATAAAAAAATTTTTACATTGAAAATTATGTTATGAATGTTATACTTACATTCTCTAATGTTGTATCATCAGAACTATTCTCTTGCTGTAAAATATGAAAAACTGGTTCATCTCTGTCAGTTTGTAAACATTTATAATTTTCAATCAGACTTTGGTGATCTGAATCACTGCTTCCTTCACTATCAATGATAGTTAATTTTAAAAAGTCCTTTACTTTTTCAGACTGTTCAGATGATTCTAAGCTCTTCCACAATGTTAAACTGTTGTCCAAAGAATCTTCTTTATCTAAAGTACATTTAGAATCTAAATCAATATCAACTTTTAAAGTGGCTGGTTCATTAGAATTTGATGCAAGTGTCTGAATTTCCAAAACTTTTTCTGGTGTTGTTCTTTTTGAATTTTCAGATGACGAAACAGCTTCTGCTGCAAGAATATTATCGAGATCTTGTATGGCTTCTGAAATCTGTTGCGCAGTCACAATGGTGTCGGCATCCGTTTTTAAATCTGTGGATTTTAAACAATTTTCTTCTTGCTTATTTTTATCAAAAGAAGATTCCTTATTTAAATCTTCAATGCTACCAGTCAGATTTTGTAAACTTGGGGATATGTTTGTTGTAAACACTTCTATACCAGCAGAAACTGATCCACCAGATGGTGAAGCTTCTCTAGAATAAAATTTTGATTGTGATTTATTATTGTTAGTTTCTATATTTCTTTCTACAAAATTATTTTCAAAATATAAAGGCACTGAAGTTAAATCAGAAGTTTTTATTTGAAAATTATGTTCTTGTGGTGTAGGTTGAAGTGCATTCCACCTTTTCTCAAATTCAGATGAATCAGAAGGTGTATCCTGATTATTAAATAAATGATTTAAGAGAGCTAATATTTTCTTAATAGATGGTCTTTCACTTTGAGAATACCAACACAGCTGCATGATACTGAATCTGTAACAGAAATCATTATATATTAATAATGAGATGAAATAATATTAATGCAATTTTAAATTTCAGAATATTTAACAACGTTAAAAAGAAAATTTAAGCTACAAGCAGAATAATCCTGTAATGTCTTAAACTTAAATGCATTCTGGCATATTTATTTAACAAAATTATAAATGATTTTATAAATAACTAGTCCCTATATAGATCTGCTCCTGGCTCCACAGCTCCAACTAACTTGATCAATCACATGCTTGCTTCAGCAAAAAAAAATTCAAAACTAAATTGATATTTTAAATTAAAGAAACCACAATGATATAATTAGGCTTGAGCTGAAAATTTTAACAGTATACTGTTTGTCTTTTTACATAAATGGCCTTCTATAAAATTTAAACTCATTCAAATGGATGGCCTCTCTCACTTTGAGGCAGAACTGAAAGATGTGAGATTGATTGACAGTGTAGCAAGAAATATTTTTTTCAAGAACTAGGCAAAAATATAGACTAAGTTGAATAGAGATAAGTATGATTTGATTTTTTTGCATTCTAAAGATAAAAGTTTTAAAAATAATCCTTTCATTTCTCTACTAAAGCTTTGATCAACTGTGTAACATCAATTACTATAAATTTAAAAATAAGTTCAAATTAACAACTCTAAAAAGAGATTTTTTTGTTTTTGAAAAAAGTCAAGTCTTTTTTTTTTTCTTCATAAATTTGATAATTGATTCAGTTGTTCCATGCTGATTGCAAGATCAATTCTGTAGACAGAACTAATATACTCTGCCATCACACCAAAAATAGAGCATAACAGGGTGATTTTGTTTATTGATTCCACAGTCAACTCTAATTTAACTCCTTCATTAAAGCTCAATATTTGCCATTTAACAGTTGTCATCATATGAATCATAAAGGTTATAAGTTTATATCAGAGTTGTAAAATATATACAGTAGACTATAAATCAAAGCTGAAATTGGTTGGAGTTCAAGTCCTTGATTTTCTAAAAATTAAAAAAAAAATCATTTTATTTTCACAACTTTCTTGAATTGATTAGATTGATGTAAAAAAAACTTATTCCTTTGGGGTCAAATTTTCCAAAAAACTAATCATAATCTTTGTATGATGTCAGAAAATATTTTTATTTTATCTAATTTATAACTAAATTAAATTATGACCATTTACTTGCAAAATTTTAATTCACTTAAGTAGATTTTAATAATTTTTCTTATAATTGAATACATCAAAGGGGGAAAAATTTTTTTAGCTCAAACCATCTAGTTCTTTAACAACTTGTTAAATTTTAACAAATCAGAAAAGTCTGAGTTTGAATTACTGTCGTACATATCATTTCCACAGTTATAAAACATATGAAAACACCAGTCACTATATTTACATAACTGGTTACAGATTTATATCAAGGAGTGGTCCTCCTGTGTGTACACACAATTTTTCCTAAGCCTCACTATCTGCTTTTTCGCCACAATAGAGTATCCACTATCCCTTAGATAACAATCCAGAATTATTTAACACACTCCTCATCTCCTGTAATTCCAATTCTATACATCTCAGTACCATGAACTGCTCTCATCCACATTCTTTCCATACTAATTCTGGGTAGCCTGTCCCTAGGACATTCCAGTATTCTTACATAATACAGTGGAACCTCGGTATACGACCTTAATCCATTCCTGATGTTTGGACTTATACCGAATAGGACATATACCAAACCAACCTTTCCCATAAGAAGTAATGTAAAAATGATTAATCCGTTCTCATGTAAAAAAATTGCTGGCTTTAAACACCTCGCTTTCCTGGCTACTTCCTGCTTGATTTTTCATGAGATCAGCATGTATCTTTTTAGCTTTCTCACAAATAATTGCTTCTGATACGCTATCTCCAGCACTGTTTTTCAGTTATCCAAAGCAAAAGCAATTTCTCAACATGATTTCTGTTTAGAAATTGATTTAACCCCTTTCACAACATTAGCAGATTTAATAATGTCTTTATTTTTTATGATTGTCAATATCGTCATTCTCGGAATACGGTATGCAACAGTTAAAATCTCGAACACGCATGCCACCTTCATATTTCTCAACAATCTCTTTTTTCAGTTCCATTTTGATTCTAGTCATTTTTTAGTTTTCTGTTGCTTTTCATTTGTCTTTTTGAAATTCATGAATAATAAAAATAATAAAATTTTACTTAAAATCAGAAGAAATTTAACAAAGTTATGAACTGTGGCACTGCGAACGTCTAGTCTGGTGTAGTACACCAATAGTGCTACTTGTTCATAGATGGCACGTATAATTGAATTAAGTCGTATACCGAGCAAAATTTGTTTCATCCAAACAGAACGTATTCCGAACTGGACATATACCGAGGTACCACTATACTTTAAAATCACTTTTATAAAAAAGATTTTCAATGGTACCTGTCTGGTTTCCCATAAAACAGCAACATTTGATGCATGAAATCTCAGAGAATTTTTGAAGAAAATGCTGGGTCTATGAATTGACTCAAAGTTATTGACATTTGCCAAACCACAGACCTGAGCTCCATAAGACAAAATGGATTTAACTGTTGAGTCAAATAATCTGAAATGTAGAGAATACGAGGTTAACCCTGAGATATTAAATATCTTACATAACTTCACCAAAGCACCTTTAGCTTTCCTTGCAGTAATCTCAAAGTGTCTTTCATATTAAGATTATATTTAAACCAGATATCCAGATACTTATATTTTTCGACTATTTCAATTTCTACTTTATCCAAAAACCATTTAAATTTACTTGATCTTCTATTTCCATTTTGAAAGACCACTATCTTAGTTTTTTGATTTTCAATTGACATGGACTTGCAAATTAAATATCTCAGCAAATAAATCTATTTGTAATAAATCTATTAAGATCGATGTATTTTATAACTTAACCTCAAATCAGAAAGCCTCTTCCATAATTTCAAATGACTCACTGAATCAAATGCAGCCCTATAATCCACAAAGCAAGTATATACTTTTTGTTGTTTTTTTGCTAATTTTTCTTTTTAACAAATTCCATAAAACAAATATATGGTTCACTGTAGAATATCCTTTATGGAAACCTGCCTGAATCTCTGACAAAAACATCAACCTTTTACAAAGATCATAGAGAAGATCTTATGAATAGTGTTCAGCAGCACTATTCCTATATAATTACTTTCATTGCTTACATCTCCAGATTTAAAAATGGGAAATATTCTTGCTATTTTCCAACTGTCAGGGTAAACTCCAGTTACCAAGACTGCATTAAAAATGTTCAACAATTTCTGCCACAGTCGCTCATCTGCCAACTTCCAACATTCTATTGTAATACCGTCCAGGCTAGCTGCTTTACCTGACCTTGCTTTGCTCAGAACAGTATCTAATTCTTCATGAGAAATATCCATGTCTAGATAACTTACAGATGTCATCTCCAAACAAACAATTTTATTATCTAGATTATCACTAAACAATAAACTTGTGAAATGCATAAACAAATCTGTTATAATCTCCTCCACGATACAGTATCTACTTCTACCTTCCAGTTTATGAATACACTTGACTTGCACTTTGAAAGCAGTTGATTTAAAACTAGTCAAATATTCCTGTTTTTTACTTTTACAAAGTCCTCTAAAATTTTGCTTCAATAACAGATATTCTTTTAATCTCCAATCCTCTCCAAGTCTCCTCAGCTTATTTTTCAAATTGACCATTTGTTCAAAATCACTCTGGATTATGCCTGGAGATGCATTTAACTCCTTTTTCTCTGTATCTAAATTTCTCCACTATACCAAACACCATGTCAATAAGTTCATTTAATTCACTTGTCCTATCATCAAATAGAATATCCTAACAAATACCTTGCATTTCACTTACAAATGTCTCCTTCCATTCCTTCCATCTTTTATTAAACTGGACCAGTTGTCTGCAATAAACCTTTTTTCCAGACCTTTAGCAGAAATTTCTAGATGCAGCATCATATGATCAGATTCAGTGCAATCCTCTATACTGAAATAGTTAATTCTCAGCTGCCAAACCATTTATACACAAATAATCAATTACACTTTTACCCAAATGTGAGATGAAAGTTTATTTTCTCTATACATCCTCCTTAATTTGGCCATTCACAATCATCAAACATTTTGCTTGACATAATTCCAATAACTTCAGCCCAATCTTATTGATACATTTGTCTTCCAAGCTCCGGTAAACACTGTAATCGAACAAGGAGAAAATACCATCTTCCCACTCCATTTCATTTAGGGTTCCAATTCTACCATTAAAATCACCCAATAAATATATCTCCTCATTTTGAAAAGAATCAAACAATGTCTCAAGTAACAGTAACTTATTACATTTAGCATAAACAAAAATTGTTTTTCCAACATAATTCAAATAACCAATCTTTAAAGGGATGACCACATCTTTCAGCTCTTTATCAATCATCAATACCCCCCACCTCTTTTTCACCCTTTATCAAATATACTGGTAGCATTAATCTTATAAAAGTCATATACATTACATCTGTCGGCAGCTTCCTTGAATCAAATTTGCCTAACCAAGTTTCCATCCAACATGATATATGGAACTTTCTCACAACATTCCAATACCCCATTTCATATTCCTGTTTCCATCCATTTATATTCCAGCTGAGAAATTTTAGTGAATTGTGCTTACTCCTAAAAAAGAATCCCTAATAACACAACCATCCTCATCTTTATCCTTGCCAACCTTGCAAAAGTTTTCACTTATCACCAATTTATCACCTTTGAAGTATGCAATTTTTCCCTCTTTTCTGGCCTGTCTTAAATTATTCATCTGTTCTTTTCTCTTCTCCCTACATTCAATGGAAAGATCCTCCCTAATGGCACTGCCTTCCTCCAATCTGATACATCAAGTTTATTACAATTACTCTTCCAACTTTTTAATATTTCTCTTTGCTTCCAAAGAAGCAAAAAGAGAAATATTACGATATCTTTGGTTACCTGCATTCCAAAGAAATGCAGGTAACCAAAGCCATTGTATTATTTCTGCTATTTTTTGTAAGTCTAACACAGTCAAGAATGACATTCGATAAACCTTCCCTAATTAGCTTAGACACTATATCTAATAAATTTTCTCTTTCATTCGTCTCCACATTAAATAATATTGAAAATAATCTAAGGAAAATAAATTTAAGTGTATTGAGTCTTTTAGTTAGACCACTAATATTAGATGTGTATTTTAAAGATTCTTAAATTATCATTTTTATTAAAATATCAAACACATCTTACCTAATTAAAATTACTTTTTTCTGAAGACTATTAAGATATTTTTAAATTACTGAAAAATTTATATAATTATTTAGAAACCAACATATATTGGTTTATAAAAATTAATTTTGTATATTATATAATTCTTATAAAACAAGTGAGTTCTAAAATGAAAGTCAAATAATTCTAAAAATTATTTATTTTCTTCATTTTTGGAATCTGTTTCTAACTCAATATAGTAAAATAAAAAATTTTTGAAAATTAATGATCAATTGTTTTAAAGATTTAAGCATCTAATATTGACAATACATATTTCTTCATAAATTAACTTAACTGGAATAATAAGATTAAGCAATTTGTTCTTATGTTGTAACTTACTATTCAATAACTATAAGTGATGATAGAAACTTGTATGAATTCCATATAATGAATTATGCAATATTTAATGTTCTCAAATAATATGTAATGGAGACTTTTGTTCAAAAACTCAATTTGAAAATTACTGGATTAAAATTCATACACATTCAATTTTATTAAAAAAAATTAATTTGTGCATTAAGGAAACAATGATTGTACTTTAATGTATTTAAGATTTTCAGTTTAAAACATTTGAATGGATAATTATAATGTTGATATAAATAATTATTAATTAATTATTTTTAGTCATAAAATTTATATGTAAATATAATATAAAACAATATTTACATTAAATTCTTGTGGATGCAAGGAGTTTTGGGCTGTTCAAGATATATACATTTTTCCACAATTACTTTTTGTAGTACTTCTTCATTTGTTAAATCTCCATAAGGCAATTTTCCAAATTCTAGAATCTCCCACATTAACACTCCAAATGACCTGAAAAATTACAGCATGTAAATTTCAAAGTTTTTATGATATATTAATATTCTTGAAATGCATTATAAAATTTATTTTTATAATTTAAATTTTAATTAACTTAAAGTTAATTAAAAAATATTATTTCAATGAATAAAAGTTGAAATAAGATTGTATTCTTGCAAATGTAAAAATTACAAATTTTTAGTAGTTATCTCACATTAATCCAAAATGAAACTATATTACTGAGTAACCCTAATTTATGAGTGTATCTCATGCCTTAAAATCTCTGCTAAATAGAAGTGAGCTTTTTCATCATTTCTTATGATCAAAATTTGAACTTCATTTTACCATAACCTAGTCACCACATCCATGTTCCCAAATAGCATTAAAACACTACAAAATTAGGTAAATATTATCTATCTAATGAAATGATAGATGATATTTCTCTAATTAACAAATGAAATAAAATAAATGAAATTGTTGAATAGGTTATTCAATAATAGATAATAGCAACAGTTAAGAAAATATATTATTATTGAATATATTATCAGACAATTGTTTATTCAATGGTAACATAAGAAAAGCAAATATATGAGTTGTTTGCTTTTCTTATGTTATCAGACAATTAACTATTGTTTTCTTACCATCAAATAAACAATTAAGACAATAAACAAGCAGAAAACATGTAAAATAAGAGTTAAATAATAATTTTCTAAGCCTTAAAACTGTATTTGCTTATAGAAAGGTTTTTAATGTAGAGACAAAATTTACTAAACTGCAAAATTATGATAGAATGAATGGCACTATCCTATCATGTGAATATATAATGAGAATAAAACAAATTGGAGCCTAGAATCTATGAACCATCTGACTGGAGTATGCAGGAACTTCAATTTTGTCACACTTGTGATTAGAATATTTTGTTTTTGTAAATATTGTTCAGAACTCTTATCAAATTTTGAAGAGGAATAAAATAAAGTAGCTCATGTATAGAAATATTATATATTGAGAACTTATAAATCTAATCTAAGATAGAAGAATTTTTTTTAGTTTTATTAATTATCATTTAAGATTCATCTATAATTTCTAATATATATCAAAATTTAAAAATAGGGTTTTAGTAGCTTAAGTAACAGGTTAAATCATGTCATCCTTGTCATCATTTTATATAAAATTTTTTAAAATTAAAATTGAAACATACCACACATTTGCTTCTTTGCTAACTTCTTTAGTTTCTATGATAGTATCTGTGCAATGAAGAGATTCTGGAGCTGACCATCGAATTGGTAGTGCCATATCTCCTAAGCAATAATAATCATTCTAACCAGAAAAAAAAAATAATTTTTATTAGTTATTTTTTTAATTGTTAACGTTACTATGTTTTTATAAATTTTGGTTATGAAACTTTTAAGGATATCTTGCATCTATATTTTAGCATAATTACAATCTAAATAATCATAAATATTTGATAAAACATACACTAATTAGATGCAAAAAAATTTATAAATCATAATTATAAAAGAACTGAGTCAATAATTTAACATTTTTATCAATTGTGTATATTTATGCAAAATAATTAATCTATGTTAATATTAAATACAGCATAAATACTAAAATAACTTTACTGTATCATTATATATACATGTATGAATTGTAAGTAATATTTTTTAAGAAGATTAAAGAAGCAATAAATTTACAATTGCAAATACATATACTAAAACTATTTTGATAAATTAATAGATTAGTATTCATAAATTATTATATAGCTAAATTATAGGATTATGCAATTCAATAAAATCTAATAATTGCATAATTGATAAATAAGAAAACAGTGTTTCTGTGGAAGGTATCAAACTATGGGTTGCAACCCATAGTTTGATACTACCTTTTACAGAAATACTAAGAACTAGGAACAATGTATGCATCTGTTAGAGTTAACAGACGTATGCATTGTTCCTAGTTCTTAAGTACTAAAAATTTTTTAACAACTTTTTTCTCATAATTATTATTGTCATTACAAGTATCTACATTTGTTATTTTTGATATTTTAAAATCATTAACATCCTGTTAATATTATAGCAAACACCTGGAAATCAATGATTTGTCCTCAGTATTTTATCAAACATCATAATTTTATTGTACATTATTGTATTTCATAAATGTGTAGTATCAATTCCATAAATATGTAAGTTGAATTAAAACCTTAAATTTTACTGTTAACATAATCTAACTTGTATGTTTTATTTCTTAAATATAGTTACATTATAAAAAGCTGAGGGATTTCCAAAAAGAATGCATTTCGGACTTTAAGTGATTTTCTAAGGCTGGTCTTGTGTCAAATGACAGTGTAATAAATCTAGTAATAAAGAAAGGCTGACATAGTGCTTACAAGTTTATACCAAGACTAGACAAGAAGCATATCATAGTACAGAATGTGTATATATAATTGGTTTCTCTTTTCTGTTTTCAATAACACCAAAATAGATATTTTATATAAGATCATAGTCATAAAGCTATTTAAGTTGCAATGGTTTTAAAAATATTTTTTTGTTTGTTCAAACTTCTAGGTTTATTGTCATACATAACAATAAATTATAAAAAATTAATAACAGATGAATTTTGGCACAAGTGAATCAATAAATAATTTTTAAAGAATTTTCTATTTTTCTTTTCTATAGACAAAATGAAATTGACAAAATCTTACAATCTGAAAAGTACATTTAAAAAGATTCATTAAGTTTATATAAAAAAAAACTTAATTTTAAATATTACATTTCAAATTTATTCAGAAGTCTATCCATCAGTATTACATTTTTAAATTTAAATTCAATTAAATTTCAATAATATAAACTGAAATTGAAGTAAGTTTTTTTGTTACAAATCAAAATTGGCCTGAACTACTCTTAATGGAAATTTACTCAATGTTACATTTCAAATGTAGAAGTTATTATCAGTAATGCATAATTTTATTTTGTTATATGATATACAGTGACTCCAGTTTATCAGGGTTTTTTAAAAATTTGATATTATAAGCATTTGGGTTGCAAATAAATAAACTTTTTGCTCACACAACCCAATATGAGAAACTGCTCTAGAATCTAACAAAATGCAAATAAAAAACAAATAGAGCACGAAGCAAAATATCTTATTAATTTGGACTTTAATTTGATTTCAATACTGTGTTTTGTTAATTAATTAATTAGCAAAATACAAATCATTATCACAAAGCCAGGTTGCAATTTTTAATCATATTTTTAATTTATTTCATTTAAAATATATGCTCTCTGTCTCAAATTAGTAATGTCTTGCACCTGTACATCATACTTTCCTGTTAGATAGACGACTGGCACGACTTTATTGCTAATTCCTCTCAGGAAAAAATTTTTTAATTGAAATAATATAATTTCTGGTTTGCATCAGAAGTTCATATATACAGTACAGCATCGATTATCCGACTCAATTGGGGACTCAGGTTGGTCGGATAATCTGAAAAATCGGATAATCGAAAAGAAGGAAAAAAACACATTATTAGTATAGTATATTAGGATATTAGTATATCCCATGTAATTAGTTTATTAGTATATCGCTATTAACCAACTTTACGTTGAATTTTCATCGATGTTTAGCCTAACAAAATTTTTTTTTTAAAATAATAATCATCGCTATTATATCGTTAAAAATTATTTTAAAATTATTTTATTGCTCACGAAACAAACAACCACTCATAATTAGAAAATTAAGTCTCGTTTAAATATTGGCCTCCCTTCAATGGTCGAGCCGTTGATGCCAGCTAAAACACGCAAACATTTAACAAAAATAATATTAAAGTAGCCAAGATTTAGCCAAATATTGTAATGCCACATCACTAGCGAACATTTGAAATTTGCCGACTAGAATGGTCGATTAACCAATGCGACGGTTAATCAAGGGTCAGATAATCAATGCTCTACCGTAGTTAGTTGGGGGCTCCTATCCCTAAGCTTTCCATATCTGGTCATATATTTCATACACCATTCTCAAGATTAAGGAAAAACAGACGGACGACAGTGGGAATTTATAGGTCTACAATTTTTTCAAAATGCAGCTCATCAAGAACCTAACAATTTCATCAGTAATAATATCAAATTTAGAAATTTTCCAATAAAATTCCTAGGATAAAACTTTGTAATTTAATATTGTATGAAAGAAAGAAAAATGTAGATCCTAAAATGTGAACAGCATAAATTAAAAAAAAAGAAAGAAAAAAGGAAACATACAGCGTAAATACTAGACTAAGTTTATTGTATGATGTCTATCCAAATAAAACAGAAAAATTAAGTTTAGAATTTCTGCTGAAATAAACATAAAAGCATATATATGTAGAAGTCTTACATTTGATGATGATATATTTCCATTTCATTTATATTTTTGCCTTTTAAAATACTAAATGAACTAGAGCAGTAAACTGATGGGTATTAAAAAATTTTATTTTATATATTTAGTTTTTTCTATAATTACAATAATATCTCTCACTGTAAGGATTTATTATTTTATAACCTAATGCATAATAATGTGTATTAATATGCTTACATAATGAAAAAATTTTATTTTATAAATTCATATTTACTGTATATCTGCGCAGATAAGACAACCTTCAGATAAGATGAGGTATAAATTTTTGTCGAAGTTTTCTCATTTTAGTATATATCTGTCCTATAAGACAACCCCCGAGCTATCAACAGCCTATGAATTTAGTTTAGATCGGCAATTATCATCTGGATAATAATACCGTATGGCGTATACAGAATTATGTCCTATTCACAAAAACATCATATCAGCTATTCTATTTTGTGGACATACTCTACTCTCTACTAGTAAATAATTAGTTTTTCCATTTTTTTTATAAAGATATTAATTTATATAAATTTCAATCTAATTTTTTTTGTATCTGTCCTATAAGACAACCCCGGATTTTGGGGGCCTTTTTTTATGATTCAACTATCATCTTATCTGCACAGATATAAGGTATTTAAAACATTATTGATTTACAAATTAACTGAAATTCTAACTAGGAATTTACAATTGTTAGGATTCCATGATAATTAACATGCAAATCAAACAAGTTTAATTCGTAAAATAATTACATTTTGAAACAATCTACATAAAACATAAAACTTATAGAACAGAGTTATTTTATAATCCGAATATCAGATAAACAGTTCAAATCGAGAATGTAAAAGAAACCTGAGCTTAGGGAAGGAATAATGTGGTCATTTCTTCCTTCTTTTCAGCTAAGAAATAAAACTGTTGTAAATGGTTATTCCTATATATTTTGATTAAAATCAGAAAACTCTCAAAATAAAATTTTCATAGAGTAAAGGAGAAACTTAAAAAAAAAAAAAAAAGCTGACAGAAGTTTGAAGTACCTGAAAATTTTGTAGTAGTAGAAATTCAAACTAGGCTTAGGGCAAAGTGACTAAATTTGCTTTGTTTATTTACATATGTACTCTAGAAATGGTGTGATGGCTAATAAGTTAATCTCTTGAGAAGGAAATACATTGAGAGAAATAGTGTTCCAAGACAAAAGTTTGTTGAATTTCTTAGTTCCCCTCCAGGAATAGTGTTTATGAACTTTTAAACCATATGTAACCATTCATTCTGGTAAAACTGTGCATGAAGTACAAATAAATTTGCTTATTGTTTTTATACAAATGTTTGTATAAAACCTGTAATGTTCTTCAGAACTGAAAATAAAGAAGGTTAACCAGAAAATTGAATTTAAATTGAATTTAATAATAACTGCAGCCAAACTGACAGATTGATTAACTTTTTATAGAAAAATCCTGGTATATTTGGTTTATCAATTTAGATAATTTATCTTTTATCATCATATTTTTTTCAATAAATAAAATTTTTAATGATATAAAAATATCAGAAAAAAGTAAAATTTCCTATAAAATATATTATACATACTTTATAAGCTTGAATTGAAGTACCATAATCACCAATTTTTACTTTGAAAGGATTTTCAGTTACTAAACAATTTCGAGCTGCCAGATCACTATTATTAAAGTATAATGAATAATAAATAAATAAATAATTTATATGAATTATATATTAAAAAAGTATTTACAATAATTATATGGGTATTCTTCATTACGTAATAAAATATAAACTTTCCAATTACATTTCAGATACTTCAAATTTAATATTTTTAGTTTATTTATATTTCACGTGTTACATAATTCATTCCAATAACATGCTATTTTAGTTAAAATCTATAAATTGTGATATACTTTTTGATAATGTTTGGTTTTATTATAATTAATTTGGACTATCATTTTAGTGATGTTAATTTGCTAAAGGTTGAAGGCTCTTAATATACTATTGATTTTACTAATTATATTAATTACTAAAGAAATAATTTTAAAATACATTTATTAAAAACTTTTTACTTATTTAAAGTCTCGATTTTAAAAGTAATAGTAATAACTTTATAGTAAAGTATCTAAAACAATATTTACAATATCAATACACTAATAATTTTTATTCAATTTATTAAAGCAAAACTTACGTATGAATAAAGTTTTTCTCATGCATGTATTCAAGCGCTGATGCTATGTTACAGCAGACATGAAGGATAAGTCCTTCTTTAAGAAGTGATGGATTGTTCTTTTGTTGAAGCAAATAACTTTTCAAATCCTACAAATTTTTAAACAATATATGAAATAAATAACTCATAGCATTTCAATTAATTAAAATAATTATTAAATTTACTTATACTGAATCATAAAGTTAATTTCTAAATATAAAAACATTTCATATATAAATTAATGTAATTTTTAAGACTTCTGGATAAATTTCATTTTTAAAAATAAATTTGAAAAACAAAACTTATGTTTTCATATAACTTTTGCTATAGATATTTCTTCAGTTTTGTCAAAAAAGAAATCTTATTGTGTAAAAAGTTTAATGATTATTCAAGTATAACTAGTATAGTAACAGTGTAACATGTTCTAATTTTATAATTTGTATGAATATAGTATGAAAAATGAATATTTGATTTGGAAAATGTTGAAAGTTCTAGTTATTACTAAATATAAGTTAGATTCAGTGTCAAGCTTGCTATTATTGACAAAATTATTACAAAATAAATTTGCTTGTAAAACTTAGTAAACAAATAAATAAAAGTTGCTATTATTATAAAATAAATTTATTTGAATTTCTAATATAAAAATATATTACATTAAATAATATGATTTTACCAAAATATCAATTTTATATAAAACATAAAAGCAAATTAATTTCATTACAATGGTTAAATCTTTAGATAATAATTTATGTAAAAGATTTAACATAGAAATAAAAATATGAAATATTAATTGCATAAAATATAACACTTACTATTGTACAATATTCTAAAATAATTAAAAACGGATCACATTCCAAACACTGTCCTAACAACTGTAGAATATTTGGATGGCATGAATCTCTGAAGAGTTTAATGAAAGTAAATAAATTATCAAACAACTAAAAATAAAAAAATTAAGAAAACTGCAAATAATTGACTATCCTCTAAGTATTATTTCAAATTTGAAATAAATTGAAACCTTTTAATATAATATATTTCTGTGTTTATGAACAAAATGAATAATTGTTATAGTCTTTGAATCTTAGCATTATTATCAATGTATGTTTCTGTTACTGCTTGCTATGGAAGCCAAATCTTGTTAATCTTTTTAATTGGAAATGTTTTCAACCCTTTTTTTAGGCAGTTTCAGCTAATAACAGTTGTAATTACAACTGATATTAAACTCAAAGAGAATGAATATGCTTTTTAAAAAGAATGAGTGTTTTTATATCTAAAAGGCACAAACATATTTTGAAATAAAAAACTAAAGTATGAAGGAAATTTATTGCTAAAATGTGCAAAGATGAAAATAAAAATAAAAGAAAATATAAAAAGTATATGAAAGAAAGATATAACAACATATCTAATGTTATCGCTCTAATAGCCTTTTGGCTAAATGAGTAGTCTTTGCTATCCAGGGCAGGTTTCCAATTATCATTGAGTGACATGGCATCATTAGCACTAATTATTCTTAGATGGAAAGACATTAAACATATACCTGTTCAAGTATCCTGATACATGATTGCCTGTGCAACACATCTATAAGAACAGTTAAATTATTACTTCACAATGGCAGCCCATTTTGCAAACAAGGTACAGACCACAAATTGTATAAGCTAACTGAGTAGTAATATTCTAAAAAAATTATTTTTAGAAACTGATCTTGTTGTGGAGCCTCTATAGTAAAATTTCCTCCTGTTTTTGTAAATGTGTCCCTTGTAAGAGAAATGGTTCCATCAACGCATATGGAAGGATATAGTCCTTCTTAATCAAACCACTAGATAATCCTCCTCTATTTGTAATGAAGAAACTGCTTTGATAACTTCAAGGAAACTACTGATCATGTATTCTGCTTTATATGCCTTAGTAGTGAGAAAGTTAGGCAAAGTTTTTATCAAACAATATGGTGGGGCAAACGTCTTCTCTAGCAATGACCTTAAAGGTCGGCCCTCTTTATAGACCTTCACCATATCAAAGAGTCTAAGTGCAATGATGTTCCTGTTCTAGAAGTTTACAACTATTATTGGTTGAAGCTGACCTAAAGAGAGTCAATAATGTTCCNATATGAATTATATATTAAAAAAGTATTTACAATAATTATATGGGTATTCTTCATTACGTAATAAAATATAAACTTTCCAATTACATTTCAGATACTTCAAATTTAATATTTTTAGTTTATTTATATTTCACGTGTTACATAATTCATTCCAATAACATGCTATTTTAGTTAAAATCTATAAATTGTGATATACTTTTTGATAATGTTTGGTTTTATTATAATTAATTTGGACTATCATTTTAGTGATGTTAATTTGCTAAAGGTTGAAGGCTCTTAATATACTATTGATTTTACTAATTATATTAATTACTAAAGAAATAATTTTAAAATACATTTATTAAAAACTTTTTACTTATTTAAAGTCTCGATTTTAAAAGTAATAGTAATAACTTTATAGTAAAGTATCTAAAACAATATTTACAATATTAATATAATTTTTACTTTTTTAGATAAAATAACCAATTTCTTTCAGGTAAAGTTTTATTTAAAATAGAAGTACACTAATAATTTTTATTCAATTTATTAAAGCAAAACTTACGTATGAATAAAGTTTTTCTCATGCATGTATTCAAGCGCTGATGCTATGTTACAGCAGACATGAAGGATAAGTCCTTCTTTAAGAAGTGATGGATTGTTCTTTTGTTGAAGCAAATAACTTTTCAAATCCTACAAATTTTTAAACAATATATGAAATAAATAACTCATAGCATTTCAATTAATTAAAATAATTATTAAATTTACTTATACTGAATCATAAAGTTAATTTCTAAATATAAAAACATTTCATATATAAATTAATGTAATTTTTAAGACTTCTGGATAAATTTCATTTTTAAAAATAAATTTGAAAAACAAAACTTATGTTTTCATATAACTTTTGCTATAGATATTTCTTCAGTTTTGTCAAAAAAGAAATCTTATTGTGTAAAAAGTTTAATGATTATTCAAGTATAACTAGTATAGTAACAGTGTAACATGTTCTAATTTTATAATTTGTATGAATATAGTATGAAAAATGAATATTTGATTTGGAAAATGTTGAAAGTTCTAGTTATTACTAAATATAAGTTAGATTCAGTGTCAAGCTTGCTATTATTGACAAAATTATTACAAAATAAATTTGCTTGTAAAACTTAGTAAACAAATAAATAAAAGTTGCTATTATTATAAAATAAATTTATTTGAATTTCTAATATAAAAATATATTACATTAAATAATATGATTTTACCAAAATATCAATTTTATATAAAACATAAAAGCAAATTAATTTCATTACAATGGTTAAATCTTTAGATAATAATTTATGTAAAAGATTTAACATAGAAATAAAAATATGAAATATTAATTGCATAAAATATAACACTTACTATTGTACAATATTCTAAAATAATTAAAAACGGATCACATTCCAAACACTGTCCTAACAACTGTAGAATATTTGGATGGCATGAATCTCTGAAGAGTTTAATGAAAGTAAATAAATTATCAAACAACTAAAAATAAAAAAATTAAGAAAACTGCAAATAATTGACTATCCTCTAAGTATTATTTCAAATTTGAAATAAATTGAAACCTTTTAATATAATATATTTCTGTGTTTATGAACAAAATGAATAATTGTTATAGTCTTTGAATCTTAGCATTATTATCAATGTATGTTTCTGTTACTGCTTGCTATGGAAGCCAAATCTTGTTAATCTTTTTAATTGGAAATGTTTTCAACCCTTTTTTTAGGCAGTTTCAGCTAATAACAGTTGTAATTACAACTGATATTAAACTCAAAGAGAATGAATATGCTTTTTAAAAAGAATGAGTGTTTTTATATCTAAAAGGCACAAACATATTTTGAAATAAAAAACTAAAGTATGAAGGAAATTTATTGCTAAAATGTGCAAAGATGAAAATAAAAATAAAAGAAAATATAAAAAGTATATGAAAGAAAGATATAACAACATATCTAATGTTATCGCTCTAATAGCCTTTTGGCTAAATGAGTAGTCTTTGCTATCCAGGGCAGGTTTCCAATTATCATTGAGTGACATGGCATCATTAGCACTAATTATTCTTAGATGGAAAGACATTAAACATATACCTGTTCAAGTATCCTGATACATGATTGCCTGTGCAACACATCTATAAGAACAGTTAAATTATTACTTCACAATGGCAGCCCATTTTGCAAACAAGGTACAGACCACAAATTGTATAAGCTAACTGAGTAGTAATATTCTAAAAAAATTATTTTTAGAAACTGATCTTGTTGTGGAGCCTCTATAGTAAAATTTCCTCCTGTTTTTGTAAATGTGTCCCTTGTAAGAGAAATGGTTCCATCAACGCATATGGAAGGATATAGTCCTTCTTAATCAAACCACTAGATAATCCTCCTCTATTTGTAATGAAGAAACTGCTTTGATAACTTCAAGGGAACTACTGATCATGTATTCTGCTTTGTATGCCTTAGTAGTGAGAAAGTTAGGCAAAGTTTTTATCAAACAATATGGTGGAGCAAACGTCTTCTGTAGCAATGACCTTAAAGGTCGGCCCTCTTTATGGACCTTCACCATATCAAAGAGTCTAAGTGCAATGATGTTCCTGTTCTAGAAGTTTACAACTATTATTGGTTGAAGCTGACCTAAAGAGAGTCAATAATGTTCCAAATTAAGAAGATTGACAGAACTTGGCTTCCATAACAAGCAGTAACAGAAATGTATAAAATAATATTCAGTTCATGTATATATTAATTTAGCTAATTAACTAAACAATATATTAATTAAAAAGATTTCTACTGAAAGTTCATTCATTAAGGAAAAACTTTTGAAATTTGTTATCTTTAACATTATAATTACACTGGTTTCATTATTATTATTATTATTATTTATTTTTGAATTAAACAAACCTAAAAAGACAAACTTCATGTAAAAAATATATATGTTCTGAAGGTGTTGCATCCTCTCTCAATATTTTCACTATCACTTGTGATTTTCTTTCATCTGCAATAATATTTTGTGCTTCTCCTCTTACAACTTGTCCAAACCATCCTGTTCCTACTTCTTGAAGATATTGTAATTTACTACGTGGAAAATTACAATGTGGTTCCTCTAAAAATATATATAAATATATATATAAATTGTAATTAAATAACAAAAATTAATAAAACTTATCTTTTAATAAAAATTAAACTTATCCATAGATTTAATCTTTATAATGATTAAATCCGTCTAAATCATCTAAATGAAAAACTTCAGAACAAAGGAATTTTCTACATTATGTTTTACTACAGGCTATAAACATATATCTAATTCAGAAACAGAAGAGATTTTTGGGCAAAAAGAATGTAATTTAACACAAGTGAAGCAAAAAATTAAAATTTTACTTGTTGAAAACAAGTAAATAAAATTGCCTCCAGGTATAACAATTACTGTAGAGTATGACAAATCGTATTCCAAGAACTATTCAAAACTTCAGAGAAATAAAAATCATCTGACAAAGGGCATATAGACACAATCTTTTAATATTACTCTTTGCTGAAATTAACCAAGAGTAGAATCAATTAGTTTTAAGAATTGAGAACTTTTAAGATTCAAATGAGACTATGGAATAATTAATAACTAACTAGTACTGGGTATTCAAGATCAAGATAATTAACGTTGTTAGTAATTACAGAGATTAAAGTTAACAATTAATTAGAGTATTAAAATTCCTCAATAAGTCAGATTACATCTGTAATAGGGTAATGTGATTAGAATTTTCAACAGCAGAGCAAGATACTAGTTCTTGATACTCAAACTGACTTGTTCACTGTTGTGTAAGCTCAAAGACTAAAGACTGCACATCTGCGAAGTATTCGTTCTTTATACAAAAGATATATTTGCAATGTGCAATGAGCATAAGCTACCCCCACCTTAACAATAAAAAACACCCAATTAAACAAACATGCCTAGTACAAGTTCTCAGGAATGACAGGAACTTTTTAGAATAATTCTCAATTGGAATATTCTCATCTTTAGTTGAAATCACTTTGAATTAAACCTAGTAAGAAATTTTTTACATATGTAAAAGTAATTTTACTATAAAAATGAATATAGCTGTGCGACATTATCTGGTTTAGTTTAAAGATTAAAAATAAATAAATACTAAAACCTGTTCAAAATGAGAAAAAACTTTTGTATGGTGCAATTTCAGTTTACACATTTTATGGTATAAGGAAAATTGCTTTTTCTTATATTATTTAAATCAATTATTAATTTATATAATAATTATAAGTATGCCAATTAACTAATGTTTAATAGAAAAAAAAACTAATAGAATAAAATTAATAATCTGTCAGTAATGAATCTGCTAGTATTTGCATAAGGTAAGTTTACACAAAGCAAAAGCTGTTGAATTAACTCTATAATTGCATGATAAACCCTAGAGGTGCAGAATGTCTGATCATATGAATAAGACTTGGGGAAATCTGTAGTATAAAAAATAATAATATAGCATTAACCACAAAAAAATTACAATAAAATGATATAACATCTTGGCTAAGCCTTTAGCTATTGGGAAAATTTGCCAAAAGTCAAAAAACCATGTGTTTTAAAAGTGAAATTGAAAATGTTTACTTTGTTTCTGATCTGGTCAGTCACTCATGATACTGTTGCCTGTTTACATAGTTATGTGCTTGCAAGTTGAACTTGCTTACCAAACCATGGTTTAATTTTTACAAAGTCAAAACTGAAAAAAAAATAATAATAATAATCTGGTTTTATTTCAAAACTTCTTTTCAACACTATTTAATGGGTATTTGTGTTTGCTTGAATTAAAGCAAAATATTCTCTCATTCTTTGCACATCAAATTTGCAAATTAGTGAGTTTATAAACTTTTTTCTGAATTGTCTTGTTAAATAGCTAAACAGAAGTTTTATCATCATTTTATAAACCTTATTTTCCTTTATTTTTCATAGATTTATTATGAACTAATAAATATTAATATCAAAATATATTTTAAAGCATCATAAAAATATAGTTATGTTTTCAAATAATAATAATAATAATAATAATAATAATTGAATAATTAAATATTGAAAAATTCAGTCAAAACTCTAAAAAAGTTTATCTTCTCTGCAAAACATTGATGCATTTCTTAAATAACTTTTCATAAAAAATTGTATGACAGCCATTATTGTAGATAAATTTTGTTTTTGAACATAAAAAGTCTATTAATTAGTGCTCCATGCTAAAAATAAGTCATTCATGTCATCAGTGACAACTTCAATTTCTATTAATCAATATATTACATCAAGTTTATAATTGGCATACTCAAGGCACCAAATTGGCGTACTCAAGAACACAAACTATTTACTGACTTCTGAGGAATGTGAAGGACACACTGGATAATTGGAAAGCACCAGGGGTGTACAGTATCCCAATAAGGGATCACAGATTCCAAAGAGATCTTGTCTACATTGGATCCACCAAAAGATCTGTTCAAAAAAGGGTTGCTGAACATAGATATGACATCAACAAAAAGAAACACACCACCGCCCTGTCATCATATGCCACAGACCCCAATAAACAGCCAACTTAAATAGCATCAATCTCTTAAAAAAATCATTCAAAACAGATGACATCAGGACCTTGAAAACCCTTGAGATTTATAAAGCAACCAAGTCAGGGGTTAGTATAAATTTCAAGAATAGTAACATAATATCTTATGCATGGTGCTATATTTGTGATGAGCATCCACATGAGTAATCATATATTATTCCTTGGAAGATGGTCCACGTTATTATTATGGAAGACTTCTGTCTACTTAATTAATTCAAAATATTTGCTCTTTATTACGTACTAAAGAAGGTTTAATTTTTTGTATTTGAAAACATTCTATATTCTCAACATTCCATTTTTAGAATGACAATGAACCTGAAAACACTAGTTCAGTGACTTTATTTGTTTTGTACCGGAAATTTTAAAGGTTTCGGATGTGTTATTGTATATGCTATCCTATGATGATAACATGTGCTTAAATTAAAGAATTCTTTTAATTAAAAAATGTTTACACTAATTTATCAATTCAGTGTTGCACAGTAAATTATAAAAAAGCCCATTTAATTATATATATGATTTAATTTGAATTTTCCAAACTACATAGTATTAATTATTACTTGCTTCATAAATTATTTTATTGTGTGTGCTAGTGTGCATACTTTTAGAAAAGTTTTGTATATGTTCTGGGGAAATTTTGGGTCCTGAAATTATTCTAATTCCTAAATAAGCCACACCTATTTTCAAACTGTCTTTTAAACACTAGCTAACTACCAAATTATTATTGGACTATTATAAGGCTAATAAATAATTAGATATAAATCAAATTATATATAAATGGTTTGCTGTGTATTAGTTAATATAACGATTTTTAGTCTCTGTAATCCAAAAATATTCTTGGTAGACAAATCTCACAGCAATTGCTGTGAGATTTGTCTACCAAGAATATCTACCAAGAATATTTTTGGATCAAAAATATCTACCAAGAATATTTTTGGAAAAATATTCTTGGTAGATATTTGGAAAATATTCTACCAAGAATATTTCCAAATATTCTTGGTAGAATATTTTCCAAATTTGGAAAATATTCTACCAAGAATATTTTTGGATTACAGAGACTAAAAATCTTTATATTATTAGATATAAATCAATTTGGTGAGAGGTGCCATGAGATAATGGCATAACTGTCTACCTCTAGCCAAATTTAATAATTAAGAATAAATTAATTTTAATTTTTAATTTAGAATATTCTAAAAGAAAAAAATTTGCCAAAGTAGAACACAACTCCTGCTTCCATGCAGTCGTGTTGCCAATTATGCTACTCAAACCTCTGTCCAATCTTCACTGCCAAACATATTAATTAATTTAGATATAATCATAAAAATTACTTAAATTAAAATTAAATAACCTATGTCAACACAATGTGCATAATTGTGGCAAAGCAGGAGTTGTGAGTTTGAGTCCTGCTTTGGGCCAATTTTTTCTTCTAGGATATTCTAAATTAATTAAAAATTAATTTATTTCTAATTATTAAATTCACCATGAGATGGTAGCATAAACATCTACCTTTAACCAAACTGATTTATATTTAATTATTTACTAGCCTCATAATAGTCCAACAACAAATTGATAGTTTATTTGGAAACTTTAATGTATCAGGTTAGTTGCTGTTTATATAGTTTTGAACAAACATAAAGTGAAGATAAATATGGATAAACTTGCATGAAACTATGGCAATCAAAAATTTGAACATTATTCTAAACTTAAGCTTATAACAGATGATAAAAAATATTGCCATTTTTTACATTTTCTTTCCTCCTAATAAGAAAGGGCATAATTTATAGCTTTTCTTTTTTCTTTAGTTAAGTTACTTAAGTTTTTTCTGAATGTATTAGAGTTAGCAAATATCAAGTCAATAAGTCAAATGTCACTCAATGACTTGATACAATATTACTGTCAAGTCATTGAGTGACATTTGACTTATTTTTCTAGAATGACACAAATTCCTCTCTTTTTTTTTTCTATTTACAAATATCTTTTTGCTATCTATTTCACAGATAGAAATATAAAAAAATACTTTTTATTATGCATTTATTATTTTAGTTCTCCTTCTATTATTTCTCAAATTAAAAAAATAATAATAATAATTCTAGTTGATTATTACTTTCAGAATCTTCTGAAATGTTCAAAAATCACATTTTCATTTCAACAAAACAAATCACTGGGTTTTTTTTACATTATGTAGAGCATACTTTATGTATGTATCATCAAATAATTGACGATTAAACTTAAATTTTATTTGGAAAGACATATGGAATGGTACATTTCTTTTTATGGTTTTCTTTATAATAAAATATGAAATAAAATTATTCAAACTCAAAAGCAATTAGTTAGTTGAAAGAATTATTATTAGTATAAATTGTAAATTGGTATTTAAATTAAAGAGATCACATTGTATTCATTTTATTGTAGTGTAAATATATGTTATAGTTTATATCATTTTTACTTTTGAGCTAATTTATTTTAATAGTTAAAATTAACTATTAATTAAGAAAATTACAAACTTATGGTATGAAAATGGATTCAATTGAAATGATAATGAATAAATATATTAATATGTTTATATTCAGTCATCTAATATTAATGTTGATAACAAATAAAATTATCTTACGTAAAAAGTCATAAATGAATAAAAGTTATAGTTACCAAACCAATCTTGAAGTGATAATCCTCTATTTAACACATTACTAAAATGAGCTGGACGTAATGGCCGATTTTGTGTTGGCGGATCTGATTTTCTTGGACGGATTTCAGGTAAAGGTTCAAATGTAACTTCATCATCATGTAAGGAATTCGTCTGATTATAAAAACCAGTAACTGGTGGAAAAATAGTAAATTCTGACATTTGTGATTGGTTACTATTATGGGTTGATAGAGAGCATTCTTTCTCAAGATTTATGATCTATAAATAAGTTAAACAATATGATTAATAAAAATCTTAAAATCTAAAGAATGATAATATATGAAAAGTTATATATATTTATGCTTATGTAATAAAATTTACTAGAATTATATACTAAAAAGTTAATAAGATTTACACAGGATATTAACATATAAATTATATAAAATGTAATAATTTTGAATTTCCTTCTTAAGTTAAATGATATATATAGAAAATCATATTGAATGCAATATTGAACCTAATCCTTTAATGTTTTTAGACTTTTAGTCAATTTTTACCATTTATTCTTAACTAACTTTAAAGTGAAAAAATTTAATTAAAATAAATTGTTAAATTATATAGTTCCAGCAACATAACCAATGATGATTAAAAATAATTTTTCAGTTTGTTTAAACTTAAAAACGACAAAGTTTATTAATCAAAGTCAATAAATTACATACTGTGTTTGTATTTAAAGTGAAAAATCAATAATGATTTCTCTAAATTTAGCCTAATAAAGTTTTTTAAAATACCAAATGATTGCCAGATTATACTGGGCTACATTAATGCTACAAATTACTAATCATACATCAACTAATTTGATCTAAAGGTTTAATTACAAGAAATGGTGTCTAATTTGGCATCAGCTGCTATCTCTTGATAAATTTAATAATTATAATTAAATTATTTTAATTAATTTAGAATGTTCTGGTAGAAAATTGATTCAAAGCGGGACTGAAACCCACAACTCCTGTTGCCATACAGACACGTTGTCAGTTATGCTACCCGGCCTCCATTTGATCTTCACTTCCAGAAATATTAATTTAGATATACCCATACTGGTTACTCACGGCACTGACTTGGGATGACAACAGCACCCATGCACTATAATTACCACCATGCACTCAACCAGATATTGCTTTACCCTAGTATGGTGTATATATACAAATATAAATCTGCATAAACCTGAATAGATTAATTATTCTTAGATTAATGTCAAACAATTGTCATTTCCAGTTGATGCTGTGAGTAACCAGTATGGTTATATTTAAATTAATAGTTTCAGAAGTGAAGATCAGACAGGTCCGGGTAGCATAAATGGCAATGCATCTGCATGGCATGTGGGAGTTACAGGTTCAAGTCCTGCTTTGGGCCAATTCTTTTCTTCCAAAACCTTCTAAATTAATTATTAAAACATTAATTTAATTACAATTATTAAATTTATCAAGAGATGGTGCCTAACACCCATCTTTACACTAAATTACTTTGTTTAACTAGTAATTTGTGGCATTAATACAGTTTGATGTACTCACTTGGCATTAAATCTTTAAGCTCTGAAAAATTTCTTCTTTCTATGTACCTGGAGACAAAATTGTTTTTACCCTCAAGCTACAAGAGGAATATGTATAGCAAAACCAGTCAAACAACTTTCCTTTCAGCCAATTTTGTCTCAAATGGATAAAGGTGATTTTGGCCAATCTCATGTTTAATGAGTTAATCCAAGAATCTAAGGATTTATGGATGTTTATATTTTTAAAAATATCTCAAATTAATCCACAACATGACATTTTGACTATTATATTTGTACAGATGCTTTGTATTTTTAAATTATTATTAGACACTAAAGCAAGCATTTCACAAAATAGTTCAACCAATTAAACAGCCTAATATAAATATAACATATAAAGAAAAACCATATAATGACCATATATGAAAAATCTTCTATAAATTGTTCTCAAATTCATTCTTATTGCTTCAACGTGTCATAATAAATTGTGAATTATAATTCATTAGGTCAAATACATATTTATTTAAGATAAATATGTTTCTAATTACATATTTTAGAGGCTACTTGTTATTTATTAACAGGTATTTATTAGTTAATTACGATAATAAGCTTTTAATTTAATATTAGCTGCATAAGGATACATCTATTTGTAATTTTAATGTACATTTTAATTTTTATTAGAATTTTTATTTTCATTATTTATACATAATATACTATGTATTTTATATATAACATATATATAAAAAACAATTTTTCATTTTTTTTGGAATATTTTTAATAAACTACATTTTGTTTAGTTTAATAACTATTTTATAAAAATTATACTAAAATGCAGCCACATAAAAAGGTATAATTTCAGTTAAATTCCTAAGAAAACTTATGTATGTATTGTCTCTTTAATCCGACATTAAGTTTGGTAGACTATCATTACAGCTTTCAGGTTAGACACTTCTTTTATTGTTTTCACATATGCATTTCGAACTTATATAAATGTTAAGTCCCTCTTCAGTGCAATACTATGGTTCTCTCCCCTAAAACCACGGTGTATAATGGGTAACATTATTATAACAAGATTTTAATGGCTGTATTTTAAAATCTTTCCAATGTTACCCATTGTACACCGTGGTTTTAGGAGACAGAACCATAGTATTGCACTGAAGAGGGACTTAACATTTATATAAGTCCCTCTTCATTTATATAAGTCCGAAATGCATATGTGGAAACAATAAAAGAAGTGTCTAACCTGAAATCTGTAATGATAGTCTACCCAACTTAATGTCGGATTAAAGAGACAATACATACATAGAACATAATAACAGCTATCCAAAAGTGATATTTATAAGAAAACTTATTTTCCATTCCTTTTTTAAACAGAAAAGCATTCAACTCTGTCTGCTAAGCTGGTGGTAATAAAAATCAATTAAAACATTTACTTATTATAATTTCCATCTTTTGAATATTTCATTATATGAATTATTAATTTTCATTCATTTGGAAAATAATTAATTTAATTATTTTTATAATTAGGATAGCAAATAAACACAATACTTTCCAAAAGATTATGCTCTCTTTATCTTAAGTTTTATTTTCTTTTTATAATTTTTTGAAATTAGAACAAGAGTTGTGCCAGTATAAATATGACACAGATATAATGACAATAAAGATTTATTACATATTTTTATCTTGAAAATATCAGAAATAATGTTTGCAAGCATTTATTTCTGATATATTAGAGATAAGTGAGAAATTATGGCATTGCATTATTAAAAGTGATTAATTAAAAACAAAACAAGAGAGAGATTTCAACAATAATCATCTGAGATTTCTTAGTTTGTTATAATACACCTTGGTGAATCTTATATAACAATAATAATTTAACAAAGAAATGTTTAAGAAAAATAAGAGCATTTTCCAGGAACTGAAACATGAAATTCTAATAGGATCTAACACACACTTTTCTTGCAAGAAACATTCTAGCTAAGATGTGAATTGTGCATTAATTAGTTAGTATATACTTTTAGGAATGAGTTTGATTTGTAATTAGAAAAATTCTATAACTATTAAATGATTTATTATGTAACAAACCACTTATATTACAAGTATATGTATTATTGTAATATCATAATACTAAGATAAATCCAAAATATTTTAATCAACTTGATAATGACTACTTCATATTATCATTATCATACTTATTCTAACAAATTTTTAACCTTAACAATAAAAATTATTGATAATATTAAATGTTGTTTTAAAAATTTTGTAAATATCTTTTTAACTTTTTCAAATTAGAAATTTTTCCCAGAATAAGAAAATGACAGAATTTATATTTAGATTAATAAAATGAAATTTTCACTTGAAAATATCACTAAATATTTATTTATTATAGTAAACTTAATTTTTAAACAAAATAGATAAAGTGTGTATTTTCTCCTATGCATAAAGTTATATACAGTAAGACCCTGCTTAACGCTGATTCAATATAATGCGGTCTGCTCGAAGCCTAAAAAAAACTCAAAATTTATGGCAGTTTAAATTATGGCATTTCATTCATTCGTATTTAATACGATTATTCGCGAACACAAACCAATCAGCAAAAGGTGGCAAAAAGGTGTACTTTCTTTAAATCTATGTTTGTTTGGTGCAATTTTGGAAAAAATATAACATCATGGATGCCATGGGAAATATCAACTTGGCTTGGCAAGAATTAACTGATAAATGCACAAATGAAATGTGTTAGAAGTTATGGCTGAAGGTATCCAAGAATTCTCAATGAAAAGAGTCTATCGTTAGGTTGGCCAAACTCAACCTAATTGATATAGTGGGACTAGGAGATATAGATGAACAGGATATTGAGGAGTTACAGCAGGTTTCTGGCGAGAGCCTTACCAATGATGACTTTCAAGAACTGGCAGAACATGGAATTCACGTGGAACTGGAAAATAGAGATTCTGAAAACAAAGAACCCAAAAAATTTCTCTACAGATTTCCTTAGTAAAAGTTTGGTAAGATAACTGAAATCATTGATCAAATTGTAGCGAATGATCCAGATTTTGAAAAGAGTGCAAAAGCAAAACGAGATGTTTTTGATGCAATCTTCTGCTACTGATATTTGCTTAAGGAAAGAAAAAAGTGACAAATGAAACTTTATTGCAAAAGAACAAGAATTTCAGAAAAATCAGGATGTTTGTCACAAAAAATAAACTTTACCTTTCTGTGTACATATGTTTATGTGTTATTTAACATATATTATTATACAAATTAATATAAAAATAACTAAAAATTAAATTAAAATTTGCTTATTTTTGGTCGCATCCCTATTTACTCTATGTTAAAATGACCTCATTTAACACTGTTTCGCTTAGGGCTTTGTTGTCTAGGAACACATCCCCCTCGTTAAGCGAGGTCTTACTGTATAATAAAAGTTTGTATTCTTATAATTTTGTAAAACATTTTTGAAATAATAAACTAAAAGCTTAAAATAATAAATACAATAACAACAAAGTACTGTTTTTTGGGAGAGAGAAAGAAAAAATAAAAAGATTACTATTTTTTACATTTTAAATAAAATATACTTACTTTAGACCCATGACGAGGACAACAAGAACAAATAATGATAATAAATATTATAAGAAATAAAAATGCTGCTGCAACTAAAATTTCTTGACTTTTCAATAGTGAATTTGTATTTAATTCGTGATCTGTTAATTAAATAAAAATAATAAAAATGAGTTCTAAATAGAATAAAATAAAAATAAATATTAAAAACATAATTTGAAGAAATTAACACAAAATTAACATTTAAAAAAAATTAAACCTTCATTTCCATTCTATATATGCTTCTAATACATTTAAATGCCATTAAAAGTTCTTGCTAATTATTTATACAAGACATTTTTCTGGATATAAAACAAATTATGAAATAATAATTTTATATAACTGAACTTTATAAAATCTATTTATAAATATTTCTACTTTCTGATATTACCTGTAAAATTATCAAAAATTTAAAAAACATTTTAGAATATCTTTTGTGTGTATATATACAGTGGGTGATCAGTTAATGAACATAATCCATTCCAAGACTTTGTTCAATATCTGAATTGTTCGTTAATCAATTATCGATTTACCATAGGTTTTTATGGGAATTTGATTAATTCATTCTGGAATCTCCAAAAAATAAAAAATATATACTTTTTTACTATGTTTATTTACTATGTTTATAGTAAAAATACATACATACAGTCTTGCATTTTTATCAGTCATGTTTTTTCCATTTGTGGGGGTTAAAAATCTGTCCGATGTCAATTGCTTTTCTCTCTTCTTCAGGATTTTTTGGACGTAATTAATAGCATTGTAATTGTAGAGATCCCCAAGCCTATTAATCTCGTTCTGGTTTGGATGCCATTTGGATGACCGTTGTTCTGACATCCTCCCACATCTTCGAAAGATCTTTATTAGCAGATGTCAGCATTGGTTCTCTTTCATCTTCCTCTTTTTCAAAAGAAAACACATCTTGCGAAGTTTCTTGGTATTCTTCATTTAAGAGTTTTTGGAGTTCTTCCATTGTCACATCAGTTTCAGGTTCCATTATCAGCTCTTCAATGCTCTTTATTTCTCAGATGTGATTTTCATTACAACTTTAGCTGCTTGAAACTTCTTGATATATCTTTCATAACTAAGAGTGTGCCTTCTGTAGATCTGTTCAAGCCATACTGCCTAGCAACAACAGACATCTTGTGCTCACTCTCTACCTTGGCTATTATCTCTTGCTTGGTTTCTACAGTGAGCACAGTTCTTGACATTCCACTCTTTTTAGGCTCCATAATATTATCAGTTTCTTCTTTAAATAAAAAGTTTGAAAAGCACTTACAAAAAAATTCAGAGAACAGAAATCAACTAGTGCACAAAAAATTATTAAAATGGAAGGCATGGATGAAATTCAAAATTTGGTATTAAAATGTTAACAAATATCCGATGGGACAGTTAAACTCTTGCCTTTCATAAATAAAAACTGACACAGAACTTAACAAGTACCCACCCAACAGTCTCGTGAAGACTATAAAAAATTATTTGTCAGAAAGGTAAACAAAAAGCTGGAATTACAAGGGAGAGTTTCAAAATTCGAAGGAATACTATCTGATCAGTATAGGGTTGAGTGTCAATGTCAACATCTTCAGAGCTCCGGAATTCACTATTTTATATCGCTTCTTTTTCTGTTTGTTCTGTGAAGTGTTTGTTGTCTGAACATAAAAATCTTCCATCAAAGTGTTTGTTATCCAATTTGTTTGCAGTCCGAATTGTTCATTAACCGATCCCCCACTGTATTTATTTATTTATTTATTCATATATTGTTATGAGATTGATTTAAAAAAAAAAAGACAATTTTTTAAGTGTTTTAAATTGCTTAGGGTATTAACACATCAAATTATGTTTTATTGCACTTCTAACTATTAACAGAAAATCATTTAAATTTATTAATAACTTTTATGAATTTGTTTTTGGTCTTATAAGTTATGTTGTCATATATTCATTATCTTAAATAATGCAGCATATTTTCCCACTGTGAAAAGTATAGTTGTGAGAACATAACATTATAGTTGTAATGTATTTTCACGTTCTCATAAAATGCTGTACAGCACTTCAGATTTTGAAATTTATCTAACATGCTAACAGTATTTACACAACAGTTTATTTTTTTCAATTGTATTAAGTAATTCATTCAGCAATATTTTGAATCTTTTTTCTAGTTAAATTCCAATTAAACAAGAAATTAGATTTAACCTTTAATCTTTTTATAGTTATTCAATTGATTGAGATTATTTAAGTTTTACAATTAATTATAACTAAACAATAAAAGTAACAATAAGAATAGTTATTTTTCTTAAAATAATGATTTTGTTTTCTGTTTATTTATTTATATGGTAACAATTAAATATTGTACAGTACATATATGAAATAAATGACTTAATATCATTTTTTTTTTAATTTTGTAACACACAAACAAGAAATCATATCAAAAAATTTAAATGCAATTTACTATATTTTATGAATTCTAAGCATAATATTTTTTCATATTTTAATATATGAAATCATGATTCATCGTACAATTGATACCAGAAGAATCTTGCTTGTTTGACAACTGTAGAAGAGCAAGACATGGATTGTTGTCATTAAGTGCACATAAACAAACTTCATCCTATAAAATTTTCATTTCTGTATGTTAATAATAAATTGAATTCAATTCTACAGTTGTAACATTAAACTTAACTTGTTAAAATCTGGATTTTATTCTTCAGTTTAAAAAAATATTTTGATTATGAGAGGTTTTCAAGAACAATATATGCTCATAAATCTGGATTACATCATATTTGTTTAATAGGCATTATTATATTTGTAGATTTTTGTCCGATAACAATTATAAATAAATATCTGAAAACAAAGTCCGCCCAAAAAGTTGTGCCCCAAGTTTGGGTGGATTTTGTCTTCAGATATTTATTTATAATATAACTGCCATCTGACGAAAATCTACAAATCAAAGCTTTATAAAGTATCGTCACCAGGGGCAACTTTAAAATCTACATTTTCCAGTGCTCATTTCCTCACAGATAAAAAGCCAAAACACCCCCAAGAAGGTATGGATGGAAACCAAGATGTCCGTATATCACCAGTACCTTTTTTAAAAATTTTTGATTTTTAATTGGATATATTTTTGTGTTTTTAAAGGACTTTTTAGCTTTTTGGCAGCCAGTAGCCTAAAAAGAAAGGTCAGATGCCAAGACTGTGTGTAGTCTGGAATACAAAATTAATAAACGGTGGTCCCTTTTTGGGTAGACTTTGTATTCAGATATTTGTTTAGGCATTATTATACTTAAACTTATAACTATATTTTCTATTACTTTTCAATAATTATAATATTCATTCATTATATTTATTCAATTATAAAATACATAACATTATTTTTGCTTTTTATTTTTACTAAAATAAAATACTGATACATTAAGTAAGAAACTTGAAAAATTGACTTAAATATAAAATAAAAAATAATATTGTATAATTAAGTCAATTTTTTATTAATTTATTAATTTTTAATTATTAGTTAAAGAAATTTTGACATCAGAATATCAAATTCATTTCTTCTGATAAAGAAATGACAATTTAAATTTTCAATTTAGATAAAATAAAAATGTATCGTACAGTAAATATCAAATTTTTAAAGAGGAGAATTATAAATAGAGAAACTAATAGAGTTAACTAATAGAGAAACAGAATTTTAAATATTGTAATAAATTTTGAATATTTAATTTTTTTAATTATTCTATATTCTCATATTATTTTACTTTAATGAAACATATACTGCAAATACATTGCATTTATTATGTTAAAATTTTAATACAAAATTTGATCATGTATAGATTTAAATTTATATTATAATTATATTTTTTATGATATTACATGAAGTTATTAGTATGCATTTCAATTCTGTATTATATCATTAAAAACATTTGCATTTTTCCAAAGAACAAAGTTGTTTGTCATTATTAATACAAACTGTTGGTTTTCAAAGGTGATGTTGATAATATCTGTCTATATAATTGTATACTATTAATCAGTCTAGTAAAAAAAACCTGTTGCACTGTTTTTTTTTAATTTTTTGAATTATTCTTAGTTTATCTAAAAAATTTCAGTTAATAATCAAAAACTTAAAACATCCACTTTTTAAATTCATTCATTAATAATAAAATATAAAAATAAAACATAATTAGCAAACTCCAGGTTTAAACTTGGATTTAATATAAAAATAATAAATTATAAAAATTAAATGCTATTCAAGTGGGAGAACTGAATGAATCAAAGTTATTCATCTTATTATTATTGGAAGGCTTCCAATATTCAAAATGTTGAATTTTTCTTATTCAAATAACTTCCTCCCACATTCAAGACTGCCAAATACAATATCTTTAGTGCTAAATGATCTCTAAAAACACTGTATTATAGATTAAAAACAGAAATATAATTTCAAATGTATAAAAAAATTAGCATTTATTTATTTTTAGAAAAATATGAATTTAATAAATTTCTGTCTACTTTCAGTCTAATCCATATTATTATGCATTATAAGCCAAAATGTATAGCTTTGTCCAAAGTAATTCTATATTCATTGCAGTCAGTTTTTTACAGCATTTATACATTAATTGTTGAGTTTTTGCTTTGATAATAGATTATTTCAGTTATTTGCAATCAAATTTATTCCAGCATTATCCACAAACAGAATATTTAATTAAATTTTTTTATACATTGTATGCATTTTTGGCACTTATTTTACTCTTTAATTGTTCAATAATTTTTTCTGTCATATATTGAATAAATTTCCTTCACATAAATGATTTATTTGAAGTTAATAATAAATGACTGATTTTTCAAGTAAATGATTACTTAGCTTTTGTATCAATAATTTTCTAAAACATAATTCTGATAAAAAATATTAATAAAAAAGATAAAAATGGAAAATTAAAAAGTATAAAATATACTAAAGTACTTCTTAAAAGTCACAAACATGTTAATATTTAACAAAGGAATATAACAGATATACACATAATGTATTTTATTTTATTATACTTAACTGTTATCAGTTTGGGACTTACCTAAGCTGATAATGATAGCAATAACTAACTGGTAAAGTGGGGTAAATAAATAAGACTATAATAATAAAATAAAATCTATAATTTTCATTTAACTCTGAAATTAAAAGGACATGCTAACACAATTAGAAAAGGTATAGTTTGAAGACTTAAATATTAATTAATAATAATCAGAATTAATTTATTCAGAATTGTTTGCTTGCTATCATCTTTAACAATAGTAAGCATATAGTTGAAGTAAGAAATGCTAGTAATTTAAAACAATCTATTGTAAGCAAATAACAATAAAATGATTAAAGTTCAACATTTAAGGTGCTGATAACTGAAGATAATGATTGCTTACATTAATATAATTTATAGTTAAGTTTTCATATCAAGTTGGTCGACAATATTTACTTTTAAAATAGAAAAATATAGAAAATACAACATGTCTTTGGATATCCATCTTTGCAACGGCTAGCAAAAACAATCTTCTACAAAGATTACCTTTTATTGGGCATCTGTTGATGTGAATTATGTCACCAGAAGTCATTTTAACTAATTTGCATTATTGCAGAGGGGTAGACTCCAATAAAAGATTGTCTCTGTAAATGAAGATTGTACATTGCTAGCAGTTGCAAAAATGAATATCTGAAGACATTTTGTATCTTCCATATTTTTATATTTTATTTTAAAAATTTTCATAGTTTATTTTAATTTACATGTTTGAGAGTTGCTACTTCTTATAATATTAAAAGACTGATATCTGTGAATACAGATGATTAAGATAAACAAACATCACAGAGTCACAGCTCCATGCCAAACAAGAAAACCTTGCATCAACATCCTTTTATTGATACAGTATATTATCAGTATTTGGATTGAGACATGGGGCATCTTGACAATGCACTCAAAAGCATCATAATACTATATATAATTTTGTAATCATTCTGTGAACTGATTCTTGAGAAACAGCTTGGTAATGAAAAATTTATGGCCACAAAAAAAATTCTAGAAAATCAGGTATTAAACTCATTACCTGAAGTCCTAAGCATTAACTTAACAGGTTTTACTGTATTGCTTTTAATTGATTTAGATATTAGAAAAATTTTCATTATCTCTATTGTTAATTACCACAAAAAAACCAAAAACTTTTACAATCCAGCATTTAATTCTTTGAAAAAACAAACATTTCTAGCTAATTTAACTAGCCATTTTTATATTGAACTACATGTGATTCCAGACCATTGGTTCAAAATAATTTGAAGATAGTATACATTGTATTAAAACATTATTTATTTAACCTTAATCTAATCATATTTTGAGTTGAAAAATTTGCCATAAAGTATTAACAGAAAATTTCTCATCTCTAATAATATGATTACATTTAGAGTAAAGAAGATAAAATTAGTAATAAACAAATAAAACCTATCTAAATTACCTTCAAATAAACTTTCAATTTTTGTCATACAAAAATGATAATGAAATACAAAATATTTTTAAATTTAATAATTATACAGCCTATATTGAGAAATAAAAATTAATATTTATATACACAATAATAATAATAATAATAATAATAATAATACTTTATTATATATTAAATATTTCTTTTTATACTTTAATAAAAGAATTTCTTAATAAAATCAATTTTACGATCGAATATTTTAAACTGAAAACTGAATTTAGCAAACTTAGTAGATTTATTTAAAGTAATTTCTGAGAAGAGTGAAGGGGAAACATATCCCAGGAACTGAGTGATAATTGAAGTTTGACGATTGTGACATCCAAAAGTGATTTTCAACAGGAAATGTTTGGTCGACAGAACCAAATTGCGTGACTCTAACGACCTCATTTTGGTAGTTAACCTTATCGATAATAACTGCCCACAAGAATTAAAGAACTACGTTTACGCCGTGTTAATGATATTGCTTAACCATTTCGATAATTTTAATATTTATTTAAATTACTTTTATTGGTTACATATCGTTAAAATCGATTTTAACATGTTTTTTTTATAAATAAAATATTGATAATAATTACAAAATATTTTAATTAAATAAGTATCTTTACACAAAATTTCGGCGTTAATTTTTGAATATGATTATTTAATCTCTTCGATTTTATTCTGAAGAATTTTTATATATAAAATATCATAAAAAATTTCTATAAAATGAAGATAAAATATCTTTAGATCTTTTTAACTTCTTGAAGGGATTATTGCTGTTATACATTAAAATATAGAGTGGTTGTCTCCTTTATAATTTAAACTATTTATTTATTTATTAATATTTTACTTAATACAAAACTGAATACACAGTCTAA